TATAGTCAGTGGCTAAATTGTAGTATAAACATGAAATCACCAAGGACACATGAAATATATGTGTTATTTCTTAATGCCTAACCATAGAAATAAATATGACCTGGAATTATATAGAAATAACACAATCCATGCTGTTAGGACATTTCTGTTAACTTCTACAAATGGAAAAAAGTAAGCTTCCTTGTCTTACAAGTGCTAAAGATTTATCAAAAGAAATCAATGATTCTATCAGAATCAGGAAATGCTATAAAATATTAAAACCGTACTGTAAGGCAGAGCTTAAGACTTAATATATTACTTGCATAATCTATTTGATAATCATGCTTAAGGTTTAGTGCTTCACAGGGAGTGTTAATTTGTGTTTTGATTGATCCTAATTTGTCAAGATTTAAGTACATTTAATGACCCAGAGAATTTCCCTAGAAAATTTCCTAATGACAGTTAACACAGCCACCAAAGTTGTACATATGATTAATCTGCTATTTAGGGGAACCATTTGCCACACTCTGACTGTCTTTCTAAATGTGCTCTGTTCTGCCTGCCTCTGGGAAATTTCCCCTTTATAGCTACATTAAACGAAAGGAATAAAAAACATTATTACAATATAAACCAACTTTCTATACTATCAGGCTATGAGATATATACTAGAGAATACATTTTGATTTATTTCAAAACAAATACAATACTATGAAAGAAACCTGGAGAGGGTTTTGGTAAAAATTCAACTATTGGCACTCTTCCAAACACAATCTAGAAAGTGTACCCACCATGAAAGAGTATTTTGTAATCAGGCTGAGAAACAGAAAATATTGAATATTGTGTCTTAAATTTGAGGAAAGAATAACAGCTTATTTTCAATATATTGTGAATATTTAACTTTTTTTAGAAATCCTTTTCTATCGACAGCCAGATAAAATTTGATTAAGGAAATAAATACCTCTTTTTTCTTCTTGAAATGTGAAATAATAAAGACATGTCCAAAACAGAAAAAAAAATCCACTAATTATAATATTTCTCTGATCAGATGCCACTGATTAAAAATCAGACATAGTTTTTAAATTAGATCTGTCATATGCCTGAGTTAAACTTCTTTTTCATTAGTGCCCCAATAAATAAAATAGGTAGCATAATTTTTTTATTAGTATAAATTTATAAACTTATATTTTAGGATTTATTGATTAAAAAGTTAATGAGACACACACTTCAATTAATATATTTTATCAAGTTAGATGTTTTCAGGCTTACATTAACTTCAGCATTCATTCATTCCTAAATATTTTTGATTGTTTTTCAGTATACATAAAATTTTAATTTGCACACTACATAATTGCCAATAGTAATTTTATGCCACTGTGTGTCAGCATACTTAGCTTTTAGAGAAGTTCAACATGACGTTGAGTACTTCTGAATTAATGTTTGGTAGCTGTTTATTATGTAATCATTTTATTCCCCCTTTGTTTTATGTGACTCCTTTAATGAGTGTTGTTTGATTTATGTATGCTATCTTGCTTCATTGTTATTGTTGGGTTGTTCATATTCAAATGTCTTTAAACTGGGGTTCATATAATACTAAACTAGTTCAATGTTATCTCTTACTAAGTTTCTATTAAGTGACTGATGTAACTAAATTAAGAATATTTCAGAGAAAATTAGTGTAGAGCTAACACCACACAAGCATTCCTTAATCTATACAAGCTCACATGAGCTCTGTGTAACTTACCCCTGGAAATGAAGGCTGTATGACTCTTCCAATGTTATGTAACCTTTTGCCATGGGTGTCACCTCTAATAGAATGAATGTAGTGAGCTGAGGACATTTAACAAAGAAATACTTTTGCATGTACCCGTAACGTTTTGTGGGTGATTTCAAGAATACTGGAATTCTAAGAACATATTTGTAAATTTATTTTCTTAACTGCATACTTTCAAAAAGGATTTAAGACAGTGAAAATCTAAGTGTAAGTAGCCAGGACTTTTAAGAAGGCAGAAATAGGAAACAAGAACACAGCGAGATGCAAGAAAACAGAGTTCTTAAATTGATGATACATGGAGCATAAAGCATTTAAACTCTGCTGAGTCAATAGAAAACAAAACTAAGTGGACAATTTCCTAACCAGGAAGACAAAAAAAAAAAAATAGTAAGCTTTATGTCACTCAATTTCCAGCAAAAGAGAACATACCAGTTCTTCAGGAACAATAAATTTGGGTGACAAAAAAAAAATGATGTCAAAGGCAAATCACTTATTAGCTATCTACTATGTATTGGATGGTTTATATACCTCATCATATCTAATTGTGGCAAAAATTCTGTGAAGTTGATGTGATCAATTTAATTTTAAAAAAGAAGCAACTGAGTAGGGCACAGTGGCACACACCTGTAATCCCAATGACTCAAGAGGCTGAGGCAGGGGAATCACATGTTCAAGGGTAGCCTGGGCAACTTAACAAGACTCTGTTACAAAATAAATAAATAAATAAACAAATAAAAATAGGGTCAGGGATTAGTTCAGTGGTAGAGCATTCCTGAGTTACATATACACACACAGACACACACACACACACACACACACACACACCAAGGGAGAAAAAAAAATGAGTCTGTGAGAAGTTAAGTAACTCAACCAGTCATACAACTGGTAAGTGACAGAGCTAGGACTTTAGCTCATGCCTGACTCCATAGCTTATATAACACACTCAAAGAAATAAGGAACCTCATCTCCATATCATCTCTGCCTTCCAACTTAAAGCATGCTTACACATATGTGCATACACACACACACACACACACACACACACACACTCAATTTTTTAAATTCTATAACCAGACTAATATACACAGTGTGTCTTCAGGGAAAATGCCAGAAACAGCAGCTATATGCTCATTAATTAAATATGTTTAGAGTTACAACATATTTCCTCATTTATGTGAAGTATAAAAAACCTTCTTGAACCTTATTACAACTGTGTCTTAAGAGAAAGATGAACATATCTAATTTGTTACTTGGTGTAACACTCTATTCATCTTTATATGTGGTCATTTGTGAACAGTGGTGCTTCAGAGAGATGTAAATCATATGTGGAGGCCAGTTACTTAGAATATTTTTCTCCTATACAATGTTCAACTAAAGTGACATTTCAGAAAACAGTGTCCAAACTTAGTTCAAATCTAGTCTGGCAGCACAAGGATCCACTGTGGTAGTTTAGATGGTAAAAGGGATCAGTGACCTAGAGGATTGGTTCCATGAGAATAGCTAAGTTGATATAGGATTCCATCCAAGAGTGGGGGGAAAAATCCCTGACTTTGGATTCAAAATTGGCCAAAAGTAGGCAAGTCTAACTGGTGAGGTCTTCAGTCCAAGCAAGCAAATTGGGCAGAATCCAATAAAAGAGAGCAAGACTGAGTTACTGGTCAGGCAAGAGTTTGCAGATGAGTGCCCAGGAACCCAGGAAGCCAGAGAAGGACTCCTTGCTTTTAGACCTGAACCAGGTGGAGAATCTTCAGGATGAAAGTATGAGTGGCATAGAGGTGGTTGAGCAGTTTCTTACAAATGGCATGCTATTTGTTGATAACTTATGGCTAATTTCAAAGGCTCTTATTCATGGAAAAGAAACAGATGGGTGAAGTGACTTGCACAAGAGTCAACCTATGGCAATTCATAGCCAAAATTCATTTCCATGGCTTATCCTCTACCCATTTTTGTAGGTAACTCCATACCACAAAGAAAACAAGAGCAGACGATTATGACTGTTGGACTTTATACCTCTTAGTGATTCTTTCATGTTATATCACAATTACATTACATGATGATCCTATCAAAGTAGAATCTCTATAGCTGTTTGAATATTGAAAATATAAATAATTGTAAGTTTACTCAAATATGATTTAATTTGAAGTTCCTCTTTTGGCCAGATATATTTGAATTGCCTTAAAAACAATTCATGATTACTTTTAAATTTAATGTGCTATAATTAAAATAGCATACCAAAGTTGAACAAAAAAATCCCAAAATTGCATTATTCTACTATAAATTGCACTGTGTAATTCCCCCTCTTTCCATCTCAACACATACTATTTATACTGGCAGGAGAAAGTCAACATAAAAATCAAAATCTGCATGTGACTCCTAAAATAGCAAGACACAAAAAAAGCAGGAGTTGAGTGTCTTCAACCCGTTGTATCCTGGGAATTTCATAAAAATAACAAAGTTTTATTCCGTTCAAATTGAGTAGCACTTGTCACAAGATATTGTTTAATCTCTTCCACAAGTTTTAAATTAACCACTGAATAGATTGTCAAAACAGTAGCACTTTAGAAGTTTATGTATGCACTGTAAATGCCTGCACAATTTCCATTTCTGGAAATTAAACTACACTTTTAAAGTATGTTTGCTCTTCTCCTTTCCTTTCTCTATTTTCAATGCTTATCAAAATATTTAATATTAATAATGTATATAGGAAACATAAATAGCCACATACTGTTAAACTAAGAGCACTCCATGGTATATGACATTTGCAAATACCATGGTTATTCCAGGATCAACATTTTTAGTAATTATAACTCAGATATATCCCATAGATGGCAATCTGAATTGACTTGAAATTCCTTCAGAAGGTTGATTATCTTTCTAGTTGTATTGCCTTTCATTAGTTATGTCTTATTAATTGTCACATTGCATTACATCTGTGCACGGTATGATACTGAATAACATGATGCAGGGAGAAGAAGCAATGTGAAAAGTTTGTAGGCATAACATTTTAATGAGACAGCATTTGTGTTGAGTCTGAATGCCTGCAGTTAATTCAGAGAAGGAGTATTTGAATTAAAATTTCTGACATGTTTAGCAAACTTAGTATTCATTGAGGTAGGCGAGGTAGAATCATTGTAAGAACTCCTGTGTGACAATGACTACACCTGCAGTTCTGTGAGCAAGAAATGTATTTTATTTCAGGTTGAGGTACCTCGTGCACTGGTAGTATGAAACTCTTTATTTTTTTTCCTTCAGGTCCTAAAGGGTTTCCCAGAATGCTTACAAGCTGACATTTGTCTACATCTGAACCAGACTTTGCTACAAAACTGCAAAGCCTTTCGGGGGGCAAGCAAAGGTTGCCTTAGAGCTTTGGCAATGAAGTTCAAGACCACTCATGCACCTCCTGGAGACACCCTGGTTCACTGTGGGGATGTCCTCACTGCACTGTATTTCTTATCCAGAGGCTCCATTGAAATCCTTAAAGATGACATTGTGGTAGCTATTCTGGGTAAGTGTTTCAAAGCTGAACAGTGACAAATTCTGGTATTAGCTATTGCAATAAATAGTTTAAAATGATAGCTAAAAGGACCAATATACATTTTTATAAGGACTCTTAATTCTGGTTAGTAATTTTAAAGTTTTATTTAAAAATTCCATTCAAATCAAATTAACATTGCAGAAAATATATTTGCTTCACTGTCTCACTTTTTCTCCAATGTGTAAAAGCTTCCATGATTCTCTTGGGTTCTTGGCACCTACTCTCGTCTTTGAGGCCAAATATATGAAAATAGTCAGCATTTTTCTTTTCATGTTAGACAATCTTGGCTTCATGCTTGATCCCTTAACATCTTAAAATAAAATATATAATGTTGTAGACATACTTGTCTGCATATGCCAATGCCCTGTCATGAGCCAGGTTTACATTTTGATGAATTTCACATATTTACTATGTCAGTAGAAAAGAGAAGATAACAGAAAGAAGCCAGAACCCTTAAACTTTAAGTCTCACTCTCCCCATGACAGCACTGATCCCAAAGTCTGGGAAAACTTCATTTTTCCCTTCTTGATTAAATCCATCCCCCTTTTAATAATGAGCATGAAATACAGTGGTTTCCTGTCACCCAATTCATAATGTTCCTATATGATTGTTAGCTCCCAAAGGACAGGGATGTTATCTGGTTTCTCTTTTGTTGTGTAGAACCAGAGTATGGCACAGCAGATGATCTAAACACATGAAAGAAAATTTTTGAGTGGTCCCATATATATTTTAATAATTTTGTTAATATTTTACTCAAACTGACCATGTATGCAATTTGGTTTCCTATCCAATAAGCAAAGACTAAAAACATTTTAAATCACTTCAAGGCCACTCAATGAAGTTAGGATTGCATAGCTTTGACCTTGGCAGCCTGTCCTGATATGTTGCCAGGGATGGTGCATGCTTCCTATGTTCCTATTCTTCAAAACAGCCAGCCATAGCTTCTGTGAAAAGGTAACAAGCTTTCTTGTATTATAAAATAGTAATTACAGAGTGCTGCTAAGCTGTCAATGTGGCTTACTCTTTGCTCATTTATATCCATATAAATGAATTGAAATATAAAATCCATGCTAATTCAGTTCGGAGCTTTTTAAAAACATAATATCCATATTGAGCTCTCAAAACTAAATAATTTCAAGATATTCCATTTTTCTTTTCCCATTTCACCACCTAAAGTCCTCACAAATTATGATTATTTGTTTCATTTTTAAAAGACTGGTGAGTATGTATTTAAGCTATGGTTAATGCCTTCACTTCGATGTCATTATTTTTAATATGGTGAAGATATGCTATTTTGAGGATTTAGTGGTAGAGCTCGCCTAGCATGTGCAAGGCCCTGGGTTCAATCCTCAGCACCACATAAAAATAAATAAATAAAAATAAAGGTATGTGTCCAACTAAAACTAAAAAAATAAGTATTTTTTTTAAGACATGCTATTTTGACTTCTTCCCATTAAATTCTCATTTAAAATAAGAATATTTCAGCATTTTTGACTAATTAGAATTTATTATATAAAAGACTTTGATAGCTTTCTTGGTGGGATATACATGAGTTAGCCACCAAAAACTAAAACAATATACACAGGAAGTTTTTTCTTAAATATGAAAAAAGCTTCAGGGTAGTTATAAGAAAGAACTATTTTATGTTATCATTAATGATCTTACAAGTAATATATCATCAGGTGATCGATCGGTCAATATTTGTTAAGTATATACATCACATAAGTACCTTGATGTTCAAAAACATACAAATGGCACAACATTTGGGGGAAATATTGTGAATAAAAGATTAAATCATCAGATGTAAAGACTTCAGATTTTGAAGTCAGAATGCATGGAATTTACTCCTGGCTACTCTCTCCCTCCCTCTACTTCACCCAACTAAGTTGACCAACTAAATTTTACCTCTTTAATCCTCTTTCTGTATTAACAAAATTTGAATAATAATTACAAATTTCTTCCTGAATTTTTGGGGGGATAAAACACAATAGTGCATCTAGGTATTTGATAGAGCACCTGGTAACTACTTAGTTCTCAAAAACTATTTGTTGCTGTTGCTGTCATTTGTGTACTTATCATTGAGCAAGACTTTAAAAATCAGTTGGCATGTGTCTAGGCAGAAGTGACGGGAGGGCTCATCATTCAGAAGCCGGACTGAATTAGCCCCAAGGTTTGCAGAAGAACAAAGACACACTTTCAGAACAAAGGCCATATGACAAAAAGCATCACTATTTATGTTGAGGAAACGTAACTAGAGATTTTAAATAATTGAACAAATTCATTAAGAGCAAATACAAAATAGTTCTTAAAGGAAACAAGGTATGTTCAGACTGCTCCCTAATCCTTGAAGCTCCAGTATAAGCTCTTGTTGGCACCACCTCCAGGGACTCTCTGGACACACAAAGAATATAAATCTGACTCACTGTGGCCTTTCTCATATTCCTGGGTTAACAAAATCAGAGAAAATCTACTTGAAATTATCTTTAAAATGGTTTAGGGCAATACACTTCACTGAGCATACCTGAGTGAAGATACATTTGCTAAATTTAGATGCTTAACCAAAGAACCAAAACAAGAAAATGAAACAGATTCTATCAAGACCAGTGACAATTAGAAGCAAAATTCCTCTAGACAAATATATTATGGGTTTTGCAGCCAGTCCAGTTGCCTTAACTTTGCTGGTCATGTATGTGTTCTGTGGGATCTTAGCTTTGAAATCTTTGGCTCGGGGCTTCATCATAGATCAGTGGTCCCATTCTATTTTTAAAAGGAAAACATTAAGTTTGATTCCTTTTTTCTCCCTTTTTTTCTTTCTACTTTTTCTTTTGTTTTTTTTTTCTTTTTTTTTTTAGGAAAAAATGATATATTTGGAGAAATGGTTCATCTTTATGCCAAACCTGGCAAGTCTAATGCAGATGTAAGAGCTCTCACATACTGTGACTTGCATAAGATTCAGCGGGAAGACTTGCTAGAGGTTTTGGACATGTATCCTGAGTTTTCTGATCATTTTCTAACAAACCTAGAGTTGACGTTCAACCTCAGGCATGAAAGTGCAAAGGTACATATTAACTATTTGTTTCTTTTTTTATTTCTGACATTTGTCTTATTATTGGATTACACAAATACTTCTGAAAATAACCAAGCAAAAATTACAACAAAACTTTATGATTTGTGCATATTTAGAAAGAAACAGATGAATATTGGAATTCCTGAGTTACAGAGAAGGCATTTAGCTTAATTATTTTCAAATGTGTTGAATAATTTTAAGCAGATCAATTAAGTTTGACCTTGCAGGAATTCTTAGGTGACATATTGGTTAAAATACTCTTAGTTTACCTTATGCCAATTATTTTTAAGAAATCCTGATTCCAGACTACTGAAAATCTTTTAAAAGAGTTTGTCTTATACAAAGGATAAAATATTCTTTCAGTTATTATTTATATCACACATCATTTACCACTTCTCAATAATAATGAAAAGATTTGCCTTATTCAAGTTTAGGTCCACATTAACAGAATTTCCAAATCACAGAAGTATAAGTTAATCAGGTTTTACAATAGATTCAAAATTAATTCCATAGAATAAATAATATATGGTCTAATAGAAATAAAATTTTAAATAAGTCTACACAGTAGTTAACCTAAAATGAATTTTAGGCAGCTCTTAGGCCCTCAATTTCTTCAGCCCTCAATCTCTTCCACTTTAAAAAAATGTATCTTTATGAGCTATCATGAGCTTATTGCTGTTCTATGGTCATAGAATGTATATCAGTATCCACAATGTATTACCAGGTTCATCCCCCGGCATCCTCTTCTCCCCCAAATCCTAAACCCCTACTCTAATTTTATCAGAAACCCAGTATTTGCCATTAAATACTTGCAGATATATTTATCTGCTCACTAGTATATTCTCAGGGGTGGGGGTGAAGATATTTATGTCAATATCTAGGTATTGAAATGTAGTAGATTTAATTCTCCCTAGAGTGATAGTCATCCCCAGGCACTGTGAGAAATTTGAAAAGAAGCATCTTTTTAAGTTCACCAGGGTGCCATTCAGAATTCTGATACATCTGCACAGATACTTGTCTCCTTTCAAAGCAATGAAAGATTAAAAAATATTTAGGAGGTAAAAGGTTCAAGTTACTAAGAGCATGTTTCCAATAATGGTTTTAATTCAGTACTTTGTACAATCACAAATGTCCCCAACCTCATTCTGGTTTTGTCTTGAAAAACAACAAATATCTGCCTTAGTTACTTATTTTTATAAAAGTTCAGGCAGCACCCAAATAAATTAAGTAGGAGCTTCCATATATTATAAAGATTACTCTCAGAGTCGGGAGGAGGAGCTGAGAACAAACATAATAAAGGACTCTCAGCATTCGTTCTCATATTTATTGTTGTGAAATTTAACTTGATGTTCATTAATGTAAATTAAATATTATAGGTAATTGAAACAAGTTTATACTTTTTATGTGTAGAAATAGAGACTAACTATAGTTTTGAATTTTTTGTCATTTTGACTCTACCAAGCTGCATAAAACACATCCCACATAAAGGAATATTTTGTTTCAAAAGACTGCATCATCTCCAAACATGTCCAATAAATAATTTCTACTATGATTTCCCCATCAGATGGTAAAATTTCTAGAATTATTCTAGCATTCTGTTTTATAATTTAGAGACAACTGTTAAGTAAACTATTGTAGCTGTTTCCCTGCAATCTAATAATTAAGACTCAAAGTGGTTCTGATGATATGAAATAGTGAAGAGTTCGCTGATAATGCACCATGTTCATGTCAAGTAAACTTCCATTTATCTTCATGTTCCATTAACAAAGGCTGATCTCTTACTACGATCACAATCCATGAATGATTCTGAAGGAGAAAACTGTAAACTGCGAAGGAGGAAATTGTCCTTTGAAAGTGAAGGAGAGAAAGGTAATTTACTCTGTTCCTAAAGTTTAAATCCAGAGCATGTGGTTATTAACTCTTCTTACTTAAATGCTCATTATAGTTCTGATTTCAAAAGTAATTCAGGCTTTAGGAGGACAAATACTTTGCTTTTTTTTCAAAATCTAATGATATGGTTTCTGATTTTTTTATCGATAGCTTCCTATTATGCGATTTAACAAAAGTGTCTGATATCTACAAGGACATGACAGATAAAGAAATAGAGCAGATTGATTAAAAAGCAGAAGTCATTTAAGAATAGTTGCAATAACTATGCCTTAGAGTTCTGAAAAGAGAGTTCTGGAAGGAAGACTCTTAGGTCAAGATCTCAATCTCCCCTCAGGCCCCATGTGTATAATACATGGATGGGGACAGAAAATGGTCCTCATCTTCCCTTGGGAAGGAGATGGCCCCAACTCAAATAATGACTACTGTCACAGGAATAAGTGCACCTTGGTGAAATGCAGATGGAGATAAACTTAAGTGTGCCTGGGAAGATGAGACAAAGCTTTCATGCCCTCTCTGATTCCACAGACATTCTAGTCTTCACCTTATCTGGCCCCACAGTAGCATCTGGCATGATGACTCAGTTCCACTCCTTTTCTTAAATAATTTTGCTTGGTGTCTGTGACACTTTATTTGTCCTATTTTCTTTGTTCCCTCACTAACTCCATGAAGATAATTTCAGGATCATTGTCTGGTAATCCAATTCATCAGTTGTTAGAATTTCTTAAGACATTAGACTCTTGTCTTCTCATTCTACAACATTTTTCTTTCCCTGGGTTATCTCATTTATGCCTATTATTTAATTAGACCATCACAAAAGAGATGTGCATATTTATATCTTAATCACAGAGCATCTGATCTTCAATCCTGTATATCAAAATATCTACTAATCCATCTACTTCAGATCTCAAAGGCTACTCAAGCTCAACATTTCCTAAATTCAAGTAGAGATACATGTCTTCCCTTCCATATCCACACTTTTGCAAATGTCAGTGCCAGCCAATCAATTATATGAACCAGATATCTAGGAGCAAAGCTCTCAACCTTTGTAGCAACTCTGGCAATAGGTCTTGTTATAGCTACCTCCAATAAATCTCCATTTAGTCTTCAAACCAGGTCTCCTTTTGGATCACTTCTTTCCATTTCTGTAGTCATTATCCCATACCAAGATAAGACTGTCTGCTCCCTGAAATGCAGAAATAGCTTTCCAATTTTTCTTTCCACATAAAACTCACCCTTCTTTTCATTTATGCTACACACTAGGGTCTTTTTGTAAATATTGTTATGTTTATGTTACCCACATATATTCAATGCCCTATAAGGACTTCCCATTTCCTGTACTCTTAATAAGGTTGGTCTCTGCCTACCTCCTTGTTCTTATCAAATACTACCTATCCCTTAACTACCCTCATCAGCCACTCTCCTTCCCCATCAGTTGATCATTTCTGCAGTTTTTATTTTACTTTTATAAATAGGCTTATTTGCATCCTTATTTAATCAATGTTATCTGCCTCTATATTGTAAGCTCCATGGAGTTGGGAAATATTTGGTGCTCCCTGGCTTCAGTAATACATAACAGTTGCTCAACAAATAACTGTTGAAAGAATAAATGAAATACTTTGGTCATCTTCCTTTTAATTTTCTTTCCCCTTTTTTCTTTTGATTGAAATTTTTTTCATGACTCACTTCCCTGTTCTCTTGAGTTCTTTCCCCACAGGATATGATCTACTGTCTTTAGCTCCATCTACCTTTCAAGTGAATTAAACTGCTCTCTCATCCATGTAAATTATTTCTGTGATTTTGCTGATATTATTCCCTTAAATTTATTTCCCTGTCCTCAAACATGTGTGTATGCACACTCACACACCCACAACATGCCACTTTTTCACCACAAATTTCTTTTTTTAATCTTCGTCAGTTTCCAATTATATATTTGACATGAACTATTTCTCGATTTCCCTAAAGGTATAAGGTCTTTTATGAATTCCCAAGGCACTTTGATCTTGTGATATTGTGTTCAGTGATTATTGATATATTTGTCATTTTTCTCGACCAAACTTCAGCAAAGAACATTTGATAAATATTTGAAAAGTTGGGCTAACTTTTGAATCCTCTGACCAATTGTAGAACAATAAACCATTCATGGATAGGCGATAAGTTTTTTCTGCCATCACTTTCTGTATTCTCTTGGTGACTTTTTCTAAAATCAGAGAACCATTACTGTCAAGCTGTTTTTCCACAGAGTTAATCTAAATCCCTTATCCTGAATTTAATCTCCTATTTTTATCACACTGGAAATGAAGAACAGCTTGACAATGATGTCTATATAATAACGTCCCCCATACAGTTGAAGATTTATTAAATCTTTTGTCAATCTTATTCAATTTCCTCATTCTCAAGGTAAATAATCTAATATTTTTATCTCCTGATAAGGCCCTGAAAGCATGTCAAAATTTATATTGTGTTCATGCAACCAGACATTTCTATTGATTTTTAAAACTTTTCCTTTAATCACAGGCTTAGTCTATGAGGTCCATTTTATATTAAGTGTAGATAGCAAAAGATTTGCCTACTCGCAGCTCTTTGAAATTTCCTGGTGTGTCTGTGAGTAACTATAAATTGGACAATGTGAAAACACAACTGATTCTAGTTATCCAGCACTTAAAACCTTATTCCAGAGTTCTTAAGATTCCATGGTGCTGCAGGCAAGTGTAAAATTTGCTGAAAGCAATTTGGTCCCTATTAGCCCGGTCTAATGCTCTTTAGGTGACCATGTATTCTATACTGCTTGATGTAAAATCAGTGTCTAGAAGGAAAATACACACATATATAAGAAAAAGGAACAGAGAACTTTCAGAGGACTCACTAATAAATCGTAAATGGCATGTGGGTACCTGGACTAAAAGTGTCCCATGAAATGTTCTCATTATTTTAGTGTTAATTTACTGTTCATAAGAAACAAAACATTGAAAGCAAAATTCTGAGATTACTAATGACTTGGAAATCAATCAACAGAAGCAACAAGAATCAGAGGAAGACCATGTGCAGTGAAGGCAGAAAGAGGTTGAGTCTTGCATTCACCTGATGCCTATTCAACAGGAAGCTGTGGGCTTCATTCCTCACCTGCAGCCCCTTCCTGTAATGCTTACCATGTGTGGCTAAGGAATTCACATTCAAAACAGTGGCCTTTAAAAAGAAGAGATGGGAAGAAGATTCTCTGGCAAGTTGATGAAAAATAGTGAATCTGCTGATGAAGGTGGTTTGTTTTCTTGAGTTGCATGAAGTTTATATCTTCTGGAGAAGACAGTTGTCAGACACCTTGTATTTTTTAGAGAGTCTTCAAGAAGTTAGTTGGATTCTCAAAATTGTGACAGGGAGTTACCCAGGATCTATCTGCATGTCTAGAGGTATTGTAGAAGAGTTGCCATAGCTCTTATGGGGGAAGTAATATGTTACTGTTACAAAAAGTAAAGAATAAAAATGAGGGTTCTGTGATTTATTCTGTACCAGAGACATTGTTAAGGCAGGTGGACACAATAAAAGTAATTGAGGAAAATTCTGAAAACTAGTCTCTTTTTGAGTGGTCTTCAGAGTTGTGCTAACATGATCCATTGTGTCATGGAAATATACATTTTTAAAAATTATGTGTTGTATATAGAGTATAATATACAGAAAATATTAGTACAGTAGCACGTATAATGGCACAGGAGCTATTTATTATTATACTATACTATAAATACAGAGGGCTCGTGTCTGTGTGTATATTAAATGTATAAAGTATCATTAAACATTCATGCATTCATGCCCATGTACATATTTTATTGATAGGGCTTATATGACCAAATATTTGGAATGTAGCACTCAATTTTTCCTGTGGACAAATAAAAAAATGCACATTGAAAAGTAGCTACTAATGGCTGATTAGGGTGCCAATAGCCATTCGGCAGAGAATAGTCCAGTCATGGCAGCAGTATAAAAGGCCTGAGCCAATAAATTGCCCATTTACTTGACAAAGAGTCATTGAGTGCCCACTGCATGCTAAGTTTGCCTATGTTTTTATCTTTGTTCCTATTTTGTTTTAAAATTTTTGTCTCTATTTCCTAGAGAAAATTCTTCAGTAGTTAACCCGGAAACAAACAGAAATTCCTTCTAAATGCAGTGTCTACATACATTAATAAGGCTACCTTTAAAGTTTTCATTACATTTTCTAGATGATTTAGCAGGAAAATTAAATATTTCTACACACTTTGCAGAATTGAATCTTTCATTTTTTGGTACCAAGTAGTGAAAAAGAAGAAGAAGAAGAAAATTTAGAAGGAACTCTAACTAGCTTTACTGATTGGAAACTCTCTAACATTGTGAAAAGTCATGATGTAATATCCCTGCTGATGTTGGAGATATATATATATAAAATTACACACACACACATATATATATATATATATATAATTACACACACACACACACAAACATATGTATATATATACATATGTTTGTGTGTGTGTGTGCGTGTTAACTAAAGGATGTAGGCCACCACCATGAAGAGGCCTACATCCTTCATTTAAGGTTTTATCTAAGGGGAATCTCAGGACAGAAGGCACAGATGCTTTGGCCTTCCTTCTTCATCAGATCTCCACTGAGGTACCTTTTTCTAACCATCTCTTCTCTAATTTTTTCCCCATTCTTTTTCCAAAACCCTAAAATTCAAAAACAGGACATATAATTAGCTCAATTAAATGTCAAAAAAATGTATGGAGTCAGAAAGAATACGAGTATGCTTAGCAAGAGAGACATTAGCATGCAAAGTTAAAGAATGCTTGGCTTCTCTTTCCTATTGAGACCTTTTTACTTTCTTAATTTTGAAACCTTAGAAACCAATTTCCTGAGCTCAGAAGACTTTATCACTCCTGCTAATAGATTATCACAGTAAGTCTTGATTGATGTAAAGAACTGGCAAAAATGAAAAACTAATTTAAGTAAATAAACAAACAAAAAATTAGTGTTAAGGATGTGCCTGTGGCAACAAAGTGGATGGAAATGAAGGTGAAAACACGTTTATAATCCTCTTTCCACTAGGCTTGGATGGCTCCACATATCTTAGGAGATATATATCCTAAGAGGAGGAAAGAGACACTGACATTTTCTCATTAAAAATCCAATGTTCCAGAGAACAGTATGCAAATGACTTGAACTCACTACACATCCCATTTCAAAGGATAACAATTAGCATCATCTTCTGTATCTCTGTATCTTTTGGATGATACCAACCAAAAGCTAGTAAAATTTGAGTGTTTCTCCAAAATAAGACATTTTTATAACTTCTATGAAAGGAACTTAAGGGGTAAATATACATATGGATTAATTTACTTATATAGGAGAGTTTTAATTCTAATTTTATTAAGCTAATCACTTAAATACATTAGTATGATAATTGGTGACTCTGAATTTTCTTTAACAACAAACAGTGATTAGTTTTATTCCTCTTAATAGTATATACATGCATATTTTTCCAGGTCTATGAAGGTATTATTGACAAAAATTAATGATGTATGTATTTATGATGTACAATGGGATATTTTGACATTTGCCTACATTTCAAAATGATGACTGCAATTGAGATAATTGTTACACACATGGCTTCACATATTTATCTTTTCTATATGTGTAGAGAGAACATTTATGATCTTCTGTCAATAATTTTCAAACATGCCATACATTAACTGTAGTCACTATATCAGATGATAAATCTCTATAACTCATTCATCCTAACTGAAACTTTGTACCAACATATATTGGCCAACATCTCCCCAAGTGCATCGTTTATTAGTCATTAAGAACATGAAATCTTGTATTTATATATTTTTAAAAAATATTGTCTGATCCTTTTCAATATATCTGACACCACATAGGTACTTGATCTCACATGACTTATATTTCAGCCTCTAATTTTCCAATGAAAACTTGTTGTAAGACATCTGACTGGAAATTCCTCAGTTTTTTCTCAAAATTGTCACCAGTGGAAAACATAAAACTCAAATGCCAGGAAAGTACATAAAATTTTGTCTCTTGAATGAAAGGTTATGTCCCCCTGTAGGGTCTGACAAAGAAAAATGGTAACTAATTAGAGAGAGAGACTCCATAAAAGATGAAGCAATCACCAATGTTCATTCCCAGATTGTTTTTGAAATTGAAGAATTTTATATATGTTTCTAGGATGGATGGGTCAGCCACTCCATCAGGACACTATTATTCTGTCATTTAAAATTGATTCTGAAGCTAGCTAGAGAGACCCCCACCAACAAATTTTGAATGTTTTAGAATTGTTTGACAAGAAAAGGGAAAGAGATGTATGAACAACCTATAGGAATAAAGAAAAACAAGGTTTTCAGTAATCTGAATCAGAAAGTAAATTTGATGCTTAAACAAAGAGGCAAAAAAACATTCTTTGTAAAATAATGGATTCTAGTGATTACATAATCTCAGTTCTAGAAAAAGAGAAAATGTAAAAACTCTCTAATATTTCTTTTCTCAGAATACTATTTCTACACAGGTCACAAATAGCTTTAAGAAAAAATAGTACCTAATACTATTTAATGTCTATCAAATGATTCATTTTAAGCAGAAAAAGGCAGGCATGGAGCAGCCCATCAAATCTGGAAGTACCTGGAGGCTAATTATAATGCATTTCAGCTGCCCAATTTCATGTAGTACATCTGCCAACATCCAGCCTAAGCCCAAGCAGTTTCCATTTTTAATCCACAAATAGATTGTCACTTTAACTTTCACTTTATATGACAGAAAATGAAACCTTAATTTATCTAGTATGAATTATAAAAATGATGTTCAGTGGAGTTGCATCAAAGCAATAGTTCACATGACCTAGATGATAGGCCAGTAAAGCACAGAAATAAATGTGGGGTTTTTCTCCATACAAAATTAGAAAAATTAAAAAATACTTACTTTTTTCTTCCTTTTTCAGGATTCTGCTTTTATCTGGAATTTTTGCTGGAGGACTTATGTCCTATGCATATGGAGTAATCCACTCCATTCTACCAAAGAGAACAAAATATTAGTAATTTCCCATTCTATACATTTTGTGAATATTTGTCATTAATTGAAATAAGTGTTAAAACTAAATCTAAAAAATATATATTAACTAATGAATTTTGTCCCTGATAATCCAAAATCAAGTGTAAGTAGATAGACTAAAACTGGAACCCATGAAATAGGTAAACATGTGTAAGGATTTGAAATTGTATGGATTCTCCAAAGCCTCTTGAGCCAAAGAGACAAATGGATTATTAATTTGTGATGTATATTCAATGCAAATATCTATATTAGCATTATTTATACCTTTCTAGATTAGATTGTAGGTATATGAATTAATGGTTAATTCAGTTTATATTTGATTCTGCTGGGAAAGAAGATGAAAAATCCAGGTTGGTTCAAATCCCACTGGTATTTAAGCCATGGACTACAATATGGTTTACTTGGAGGAAAATCCCTGAAATTCACTGATTTGATATAATGATATGTGAAGCTCCCCCCACTCCCCCACCCCACCCCCTGTTTTTAAAAAATCTCCTAACATGAAATTGGTAGCTACTATCTTTTGAGAAATGAAATGATGTGTTCAAGAAGTGGAGAATGTTGACCAAATTTTCAGAGAGCTTTGGAAGAAGGAAGATGTTTAAGATAAAGAAAATGGGGAGGAAGAGGACAAGATTGACTTTTAATTAGAGCTGTGTCAGAGAAAATGGAGAAACATGTCTCTAAGAATAGCTGATCTGAACATATATAGCCAATTAGATCAGTGGTTGAGCCGAGACATATAAGTAATGTGGAGTAATCAATGATGACTTCTGTTGTACTGGGACTGGAAAGTCTGTGGTTTTCTTGGCAATGTTGGGATTAAAGAGAAAGTGTGAAATCTTAAAATAAATTAAGCAATCTGCATTTTATAGATTACACTTTAATAAACTCATTAATAACAATTTCATTTCAAGGCTATTTTTAACCTCTATTCATTTTTTCCTTGGGCTACTTTCTGGCTTCTTGTATTTTAAATTATGATTTAAAAAATAAAGAAAAAAACTTTGTTTAATTTCTATGCCATATGGGAATTTTAAAAAGCAGTTGGATTTTTCTCTGAAGTGGCCTTAAATCAATTCATTTGGCCTTCTATAAATAACAAAGTAAGCACACCCAGGCACAGAGTAGATGGGGACACTGTCTTCACCATTTCTCTAGAAAATGATAGACCTCTTGGAGTTTTGTTGGTTAGTTATTAGCAGAAGCCAGATGGAGAATTATACTGTCTCCCCAGGACACTAATAGAAACAAGCCCTAAGATTTGTCTCTGAGGTTTTTTTTCTGCTGAAATATATTCTAACACAACCTTCAGGGGCTGAAATTATCCTGACATTTCAGTATAAAATAGCCAATAAGCACTAGAAACTTTAATGTAATTAGGTAAAACTTACCTCAATTACTGCATTTAAGCATTATATTTTTGCATTATACTACATGACCAAACGTTCTAGAATGTTGGGGCCATTACATGCATTGAACTAAGGTTGAAATTCATCCTGCAAGCTTTTAGTACAAGGAGGCTTCCAATTTTGACCTTTGCAATATGTGAGTGACTGCCATAGATGATAAAGCATGGAGGTTAAAAACAAATAACAAGCTGCATAGTGGTGATATTTAGAATTGGGACATATTTTTCCTTTGTCTTTTTCATTTCCCTAAAGAGATAGTGCACCAGATTCTAAGAATACAAATGACAGTTGAGCATGTATAAATAAGTTTGTAAGTTATCCTATAGTTTTCTCTGAGACTTAAACTTTCCTGTTGCAAATTTTCTTTTAATTTTGAAATGAATGATTTATCTCATTAAGACAGTCTAATAGTCCTCTATTTTAAAAAAGTCTCCAAAGCAATTACATTTATATTACAAAAAAGGGCAGTTTGTGTGTAGCTAGTTAGTATATGTAGCATGCATAGGGTCTTATATTTGATTATCTGCTATAAAATAACTTTTCTTCTGTAGATTTTGGCAAAGAAAGCAGCACAAATGATCCTGAAGACTCTGCAGATACCATAAGACATTATCAGAGTTCCAAAAAACACTTTGAAGAGAAAAAAAGTAGATCATCATCTTTCATCTCCTCCATTGATGATGAACACAAGCCGCTCTTCTCAGGAATAGTAGATTCTACTCCAAGAACAGGGAAAGCAGCTGGGCTCCATTTCGAAGAAGCAATGCCCACCTCAGGAAGGATTCATGTCAATAAGAAAAGCCACTCTTGCAAAGGTAATCCAGAATCAGGAATCAGGTTGTCTCTCCTCAGGGCTACACAGACTATAATGACTTTTCACAAATTGAGAACTGTACCAACACATGTTAATCTAATCTTTTTCAATTCATGTCTGTAAAGAGTTGAGATTTTAGATAATCTGCAACGTAGTGTTTGCATAATTCTGGAATAAGTGGCAAATATTTCCAAACAATGTCAGCATGAGAGGTATTTGTGGCCAACCAGGCTTAATTATAGGTAGAAAGCTTTCTGAAAGCCTGTTGATGCAATTGATTCCTATGTGGAGAGAGCATCCATGACTATTTTAAGAGATTTTACTGGTTAGTTCTTTATGTATGTCTTCTGTACCCATTTCTTACCCCCAAACCTATAGTTTTATAACTTCAAAGGTAAATGCAATCATATTACAATACAACATCATACTGTGAATTATGACAAACCAAAGAAACTATCCTGAAATATTCTGTTTTCCTTTTTTTTGTACTGGGGATGGAGCCAGGTACCTTACCACTGAACTATGTCCTGAGTCCTTTTTATTTTTTATTTTGAGACAGGATCTTACTAAATAGCTTAGGGCCTCACTAAACTGCCCAGGCTGTCCTTGAACTTGCAATCCTCCTGCCTCAACCTCCTGAGTCACTGGGATTATAGGAGTGTGATCATCATGACCATCATGCCTAGCTTGAAATAGAGTATATTTTTGATAAGACTTCTTTGTTTAATATCCCTACTAAAAGGAATACAGAAATATATGTGTTTTGTTGAAGAAAATACACAAGAGATGAGTAATAATGTTTTTTTAGAGAGAATTTTTTAATATTTATTTTTTAGTTTTTGGCGGACACAACATCTTTGTATGTGGTGCTGAGGATCGAACCCGGGCCGCACGCATGCCAGGCGAGCGAGCTACCGCTTGAGCCACATCCCCAGTCCCAATAATGTTTAATATATGCAAATTTCATTCTGAAGGATGAGAAACTGAGGAAACCTTGAAAAGTTATCACATGGAAGAACAATTAATTTAGCATAATAGGAGCTAAATCTATAGATATAGCTATTAAGTGGTACCCATAACAGTTGTGAGTCCAACTTCTTGGATTCTAAAACCAAATCTGTCACTTGCCCCCTTTATGACTTGAGATATGTGATTTGACAAATCCACTAATACACAGTTCACATTTTTAAAGCATAATAATAATATCTAACCAACTCATTAGTTATGATTATTATCCAAATTAAACTGTAAATGACTTTATCTGAAATAAAATCCCCAACCTATTTGATATTTTCTCACTGGTTTTACTATTTAATATGTATCTGGATGTATAAAATGTAAATATTAAGATAGCATAAGAAAAAAATCAAAAGAATATAACAAAAATTAAGGAAGAAATAAGATGTTTTGACCTGGCAAGATAATAAAATTATACCACAGAGTAAGTAAATACTACCTACGAGCACACCATTATTCCAAATGATTATATTTGACAACAAAGATTTCATTAAATCTAGGATGTTCAGGTTTTATATTTTTCCAGAGTTACTTTCCATATCATGTCAAATCAGCTTTTACCAGGATCCCACATGGAAATAAGCTAAGAATATATGCAAATGTCCTCTGGACAATCAAAATTCTTGATGAAGTGAATGAAAATAGTACCTCATTTATCACAGTGGAAGAATGGAATATTAGATGTGATTACCAAATGTCCCATTTTAGTTATTTATGAAAATGGATTCTGGGAAGTACTAAGAATAGAAACAGGTTGTATCATGGAAGTCAAAAGTTCTGAAGAGCTTGTTGAACAATCTCTACTATACCAAAAGTCAGCATAATGTGGCCCTGCTGAAAAAAAAAAAGTGTTTTGTTGTTTTCTTCTTGAATTTTAGACTTCTATATGACAAGTCTTTAAAGAAATATTTGGGGAATTTTATTTGACATTATAATGATTCTCCCTGACAATGAATTCTAATGCCCTTCACCTAATATAATGCTAATTCTTCCAATCTTTAACTAGCTATTCTAAATGCCCAATAAGAACAGTAGTATTCTAAAAAAACAAAATAATTTTAATATCTCCAAGTTGTTAATTTTAAAAAAGTGTTCAATGTAGTACCTATGCAGGCAAAAACTAATTATCTTGCAAATGCCAAGCTAAATATGCATGTCAATTAAGTAACTGTAATTGATGCTATATAACTTCGATCAGGGTGATTGTTAACATGACTAATTAATAGGATTAACCAATAGAGAATTTAAAGACTAAGTCACTGCAGATTTTATTCCCTATTGACTTTTAAGGTAAAATCCTGTGTAATGTTCAAAACTTTAATAATATGTAATATGTAGGTGTGTCTGCCACAGTTTGAACTACTAAAATCCCCACAAAGTTTAGTTTCAACATCAATAGGAAATTTCACTCCCTGGTATTCCTGGGATTTGTCATATTAAATCCAACAGAAGAGAGATTCAGAGCACATTAAAGCAAAACTAAAAAAGGAAAAAGGAAGAAAAAAGGAAAAAGGAAGAAAAAAAAAAGATTAAGTGGACTCTGATTCTACTTACATTGAGGTCAAAAGTTGACTCTAGGAAAATTTTGTACCAGAGCAAAGTTAGTTTACTTTCTGCTCATCCATTTGAAGAAATGTATCTTGCAACTATAGCAACATTTGCCAAGGCAACCAAGTGCAGATTCTTTTCTATGCTATATTTAGAAAGTGTCTACAAGGATGTTCATTTGATTAAGACCACTAGCCATGATTTCCCCTTTGAACTCCTCATTTTTTATATTCCTGTTAAAAACAAGCTAATCACATATCTCTAGATTTTAATAAAAGAGTAAATTATAATCAAGGAAGCTTCTGTCTCACAGTATATTTATTCATTTCTGCTAGAATAATCTTTTTTTCTTGAACACTGCAGTAAAAATATTATCCTCCATAATTTATTGCATGTGATTCACCCTTGTCATTTAAAAATCAATTTATTACACAGGATTTGAAAAGGAGAGAGCTGTTAAGCATATGCAGAATGCTGTATGCTTTTTTGGCACTAAGCTTATGAACATAAATATGTAATTTTAATCCTATCAGTTCTTGTCTTCTCTGAAGAAATGTTCATACATGAACTGGCTATCAGGACTAGACAGGGACAAGTGTTGGCAGCACCAAAACATTTGTATGTGTTCTGATGCTTACTTGGCATTGCTAGCCCAAAGTTGAAACCTGGTTTACTGTTATATTATCATTTTGCATCTTAAATTGGTTCACATTTCTGTAATAACAAGTCATACTTCTCAGTAAAAATCTGCTGATAAATTACTTAAAACTCCAGCAATATCATTTTTCTATGTTAAGTTACATTTTGTCATGTTTGGTAAAATATCAAAAGAAAAAATAAGCTGTCACTCTCTAAACCAAAGCTGAACACCAGAATCAGTAAGGAAGCCATAATCAGGAGTTTTTCTGGTGTTCCTTGTAAGTTCTGTGAGATCTGTTACCCGTTTCCACAGAGCAAGGAACCTGGTCTTATATTTTTCTCATGCTATCTTTAGATATGCTTAAATGCTTTGTAAAAGCTTCCTCTCCCTGAGACTGAAATTATAGGCACCTCATTAGAAAAATTTCTGTGTATTCAATGATAAAAGATAGTGGGGGGAAATCCATAGAGAAAGAATATAGAACTTTGTTGTTCTTTTATCTGCTACTTATTGAAAAGGATGCACTTGAGCTCTCTCACTGTACTTTTAGAGAATCTATGGGGAATGAAGTCTTACAGTTCTGTTCCCTATCTCTAGAATCATAGCTAATTCTGGCCAATTCAGTTACTTTCTATTGAAATTTTTAAATCACTAAGAGTATAAATCCATAACTATGTAATTTTTCTCAATGTCTAATCATAGGAATTTGCCAAGATTTTAAGTCTTTATATCAAAACCAAATCACTTTCTCTAATTCAAATCTATTTCCATGTGAAAGGGAATACCAGCTTGACAAAATCCTTCCCTTCCATCAGTCTTCCCAAAGGGAAATATATATATATATTTTTTCTTTATCTCTTAAATAAGCTCCCAATTTTATTCTTATCTTTTCATGGGTTTTATTTTTCAACCCTTCAATCATTTTTATAGAGGGTAAGAGAGCATAACAAAACCATCAAAAGTATGTAAGTAACACAGAAAGGATACATTTTTCCCCCAAATATTGATAGTTTGAAAATACAGATCTTAGGAGAAAGAGTAAATTAAAAGAGGTTCAAAAATAAATCTCTGGATGAAAAATGATCACAAAGTTGCTAGACTGAATTTTTCAAGTTCAGGGGCTTTGTCTCCTTCCTCTTCAAGTCCTCCACATTTAGCAAAGTGTCTGGCACATAACAGGCACCCAAAACATTGGAAAGGGGGACTTGAGCAGATAAGCTGTTTGTTTAAAGTACATTAAGAAAAATATACATAACAAAAGAGCCACACACACACACACACACAAAAAAAAAAAAACATTGGCTAACAATGTGATGATATTAAAATACAGTGCAGAAGAAGCTTCAAAGAAGCAATGAAACAGGATGGGAAGACTTTAAAACTCTTCTCCTCTTTAATAGTTTATGACTCCTTGGCTCTACCTTGAATTGGGCTGCCTAAGAATATACCCTTGAAGATCAACACTTCCCTCAAGAGTTTTATCCTGGACCATAAAGAATGCTTACTATGCTCTGAGAAAGAGCCCAAAATATCTCAAATGTTAAGTAAAACATTATAAACAAAATGTTATTTCCTCTCGAATTCAAAAGCACAAAAACATTGCGCTCTAATCAGTTATGTTCAGCCATTCATACCTTCTTTTAGCACAAATAGAAAGAAGACAAAATCATAACCAAGACTCCTGACCTGCTATAAAATTTTAATGCTATGAAAATGCATGTGGTAGGTAAGGAAGGCAGAGTGAGAGTAGGACCCTACCACCAATTGGTCATGGCCCCTGATCTTGTCCATGAACCACTTTGGTTCTGTGTCTCCTGGGTTATATCCTAAGATCCTTTACAGCTTGTCTTGTGAGTGTCTGTGTTTATGAGGCAAAGGAGTGCCAAAGAAAGCCGATGTCTAACTCGCTCTCTTCCACAGATATCACTGACACGCAAAGCTGGGAAAGAGACAATGCCAGGGCTCAGCCTGAAGAGTGTAGTCCCTCAGCACTTCAGCGAGCTGCCTGGGGGATCTCAGAAACTGAAAGTGACCTCACCTATGGAGAAGTAGAGCAAAGATTAGATTTGCTTCAAGAGCAACTTAACAGGTATCAGAAATGGTGGGGCAAAAGGAGAGTATGATGCAAGCCATTAGACGTGTCTAGCTTTGCTTCTAGCAAATTCCTCTTACTGCAATCCCATATTTTCCACACATACTTATTTAAAATAAGACTAGAAACTGACAGAATTATCAATTTGTGTTGCAGGGAACATTTATTTGCACTCCGTATCTTAAGCAACATATGTCCTATTTTTTCTTTCTCTATCTTAAAATTAAGTAAATCACCATCACTGGCTACCTCCCCTCAGAGTAATTCATATTTGTCAACTAACACCTTTCTGCTTTTAATCCTGCTTTTATACTTTATAGTTGTTTCTGGTAATTTATCCATGTTTTGTGGCATTTTTAAAATACTGAAATAGTGATTTAAACAAACAGTTTTTGGTCAATTTAATAAAAAATGTGAATAAATTAAAAATTCCACAAATTAAAGACAGAACCTTTCCATTTTCCTTCATCTTTGATCTAGACTGATGAATATGAAGAGTAAATTTTGGTTTTAGGCAGGAGGTAACTATTTCATAGAAGTCTGGGTGGGTTTTTAAAATTAAATTGGTTAAAAAGAGTCAGAAAACAGATATGACTGGAGTATGACTCAGTAGCTGTTTTGTGTTTCATTTGGGAATTTACCTTGACCCAATGGTAGCTTTCAAATATACCAGATGGCAAGTTCTCCCAGTAGCCATAGCCAAAACTGCATGGACTAAGTTAAAATGCTCAAATCACAGGATTTAAGAACTAGATGGGGTAATTGATTCATTTTAAGTAAGTGCAAACATGATAAAATAACCACACTAGGGCTGGAGTTGTGACTCAGTGGCAGAGTGCTTGCCTGGCATGTGTGGGGCACTTGGTTTGATTCTCAGCACCACATAAAAATAAACAAAGATACTGTGTCCATGTATAACAAAAAACAATATTAAAAAAAAATAACCACACTACCTGAATCCTGATTTAGACAGTGTTCTTAAATCTGCCACATCAGCTCTCAATGTCCATAGTACAAGGACCGGAATTGACCTTTCTCCAGAGACAGAAACCCAAATCTCTTGTGCTGATGTAATGCATTGTTTCTATAATAGAAATGCAAGGCCTGACACACCTGATCACTGCTGTGGTCCTTTAATTAGCCTGTACAAAGGTCATGTGTTTTACTGGCCTTTTGTAGGTAGACCACATGGAGAGCCAGAATGAAACCCTGGGTGACCCTAACAGATGGTTAAATGTGTGTGGGATAGTTGTCTTCCCGGAGGCAACATGAGAAAAATTTATTCTTTCCATCTCTTGTTGAGTACATCCCATTTCTATTTTTTCTTTGTTATACCTTGCTGAGTAGTAGCATGAATGTGTACATTTAATATATCTTGTGATTCTGCCCGTGTCTAACAAGCTCCTTGTTTACCCATCTGTAGTTAGCACATCTGAGTTTTGCCTATACCACATAAACTATGGCTTTACTTACTATCTATGATTAATATTTTCTATGCATTTTATTTATGTTGGTGGTGGTGGTGGTGGTGGTGGTGGTTAAAAATGTGAGTAAATGGTGAATGACAGGGGCAGCAGTGATTTCTTTGACACAATGCCAACACAGTACAAATTAGTTTACCTAGGTAAAATTCTTAACTAGGTTATTTAACTATTTACAGAATGACTGGGTAGTAATTTAAACTTTCCTACTCTCAATTTTCTATTTTTACTCAAACCTACTTGCAGTGCTTTTGTATGGACAGAATTAGTACATGATCGTCTCTTTGTATTCAAAGATTGGTTCCAGGACCGTCTTTGGGTACCAGAATCCCTTGATGCTCAATTCTTTGTGTAAAATAGCATAGTATCTGCATTATAACCTGTACACATCATCCCATATGCTTTAAATAATCTCCAGATTACTTATAGTATATCTAAGAAAAAGTAAATACCATGTAAATAATTGGTATAGTGTATTGTTTAGTGAATAATGGCAAGAAAAAAGTCTTGTTGTGTCCAATAAAAATGCAATTTCTTTTCAAATATATTTATTATGTGCTCAATTGATTTTCTAATGCAGAACATAAAGATACAGAGGGCTGACCATATGTAGAGACTATACCTGCTATGCCAAAGGTAGCATAGATTAAAAAAAAATAAAGCTAGATAAAATTTGATCATCAGTGAACTTCAGCTCTGTTACTAGTGTTCATTGAGTGTATTCTCTTACTTCACATATATTTCTGGGCTTGAACCTTCCTTTAGGACTAAAATTGAGATTTCAGTGACTCCTTGTTGTCTGTGTATGTGTGTGTATGAAAAACTTTATATATATTTTTTACACTGGGAATTAAACCCAGGGGTGCTTTACAACTGAATTACATCTCAGTTTTCTTTTCCAATTTTGAGACAGATTTTCACTGTCACTTAAGGTCTCACTAAACTGCTGATGGTGGCCTTAAACTTGTGACTCTTCTTCCTTAGCCTCCCAAGTTACTGGGATTACAGGTGTGCACCACCACATCCAGCTAGTATATTATTATTGTATGAATTTTCCACAGTCATAACAGAATTAAATATCTTTTAACATATTCCCAGCATATGTATGTGCTTTCTGAACATGTTTTGAATTGTTATCACCGTTACTACTTCTAGTTTTTTTCTCTCTTTAATATTTTTACAAACATTTTATTTCCTAAGTCAGTTTAGCTTATTTTAAAATTTAAAAAGTTGCATTTTTAGTGCACTGACATCTCCAAACTTTTTTCTTCCACTTTGTTCTGTAAGACAAATGTAAGGGAAACAAATTTGAAGCAGGCAGCTTAACTTAAGACTCTGCTTTGCAGAGGTAGAATCTTGGGACACGTTCTAGAGTTGAGTATACCCTATTTGACTTTGGCATTTGTTCAAATGTAAAACTGAGTTCTTACACCACCATCTCATCCAAACACAATATTCAAGCCACAATGTAATAAAAACAAACATAAATGGTCGATTTTGAACCAGTCCTTGCTACTGCCTCTTTTCTTCTTTAAGGCTAAACTATATGTAGGGTTAAAGGTTTACATAGGTTAACTTACATGTACATATGTATGTGTTTATATATGTGTATATAAGCATATATACATATATAGCCTAGATATAGACATGAATAGATAGATTATTAAGACTTGATTCTTCAGCAGTACTTCTCAAACTTTAATATGCATTGGTATCACCTGGGCGTCTTGTTAAAATGCAGTTTCTAAGTGGATTGATGAGTCTAGAGCTGGCAGACACCACATTCTAACAAGCTCCCAGGGATGTCCAATGTTTCTGGTTTAGGGAGACACTTTGAGAAAGGAGAATTAGAAAATGTAAAAATTGAGTAATGACTCCTTCCACTGCAGAACATCCAGAGCAATTTGTCTCTATGCCTCTAGTATGACATTGAGCACCTGCTTCATCTAGTGTTAGTTATTTATGCACTTCCTTCATTTTTCCTCTCTAAGCAATCAGCTCCTGACAGCACTGAGAGATCAGATTCCATATTTATTCTCCTTCATGTTCTCACCTGACTTTCTACCTATTACAATTCCTGGTAAAAGTTGGTCTTTGAATGAGTATATGAAAATATTTATTTTCTACAACTTTATGGCTATCTTGACAAAAAATAAAATTCCAAAACTAGGTTATTTTCTGTTTAAAAGATCAAGAACAAGCTAATTCTCTGTAATTCCTCCTGAATAAAGCACATTATCAGGTTTCAATAAAAGAGTCCATTGTAATTAAGCCAATAGACTCTAGTCATAAAACATAAAAATACAATTCTATGTATAGTAAAGAAACTTTTTACTACACCTCCCCTTTGTCAAACTACTCCAAATTTCAGGTAACCAATTAATAAGACAATACTAAGTATTCAAAATCAGTGCAGACAGGAGACCATTCACAAGACCAAGGCTCAGTGGTAAGAAGTAGGATATTTACAGGACTTTGTGTTTGGGCTTGTCAAGGTTTCACTGGTTCTGTACATCAGAAAGTTATGTCCCAACTTATTGAAATTGGGCAAATTCATGACATCAGCCATCCAGAGTGACAGGCACAGCAGGGGGTAAGAATCTTGAAGCAAGTCTGACAATTAAGTTTGAATGTATAAGAGGCTTCTGATGAGCAAACAGTTCTCTCCAGTGAATTTATTTGTAGAAAATTTCTGAACTAGTGAAGTTATTTACTGGTATAGTCTTATTTTTCCCAGGCAAAGTATTCCTAGAATAGACAACCAAGTCATGTGGATAGAATGGTCTACACTCTTATTAAATTGTTTCAATACCAAAGGTCTCAGGTCTCACCTGGCAACAGCCACTTCAACTGCACATGTTGTTCTTGTGTGCATGAGGCCCTCTCAGTGCCACAGGTTGCTGAGCATGTGAATGCTGAAGCAGTACCTCTGATAGATTCTTCTCTCATAGACATTATTCAAATAGATAAAATCCATGATGAAAAAATTCTGTTTCTTAGAGACTGCTAATGTTTAACAAAGATTTTTTTATAGGACTCAAAAACTCAAAAGATTTTTATAGACTCAATAGTGTTAACACACTCAGCAGAGGGGAATCAGACTGATTGTATTTGCCATTTTCCTTTAAATTTTAATTTAACATTAGAATGAAATTAATTTTTGTTCACTACCAGTGTCTTGAATTCCACATGTGGATGAAATTTTTAACCTCAGTATTCCCAAATCCTTTAATATTCAATGGCTTATCTTGATAATAATGGTAATGATAATAAATATTATTTTAAAAAGCCACTTTAACTATTAAATTTTTTTAAAATGAGACAAATTTGTACAGAAATAGCTCTGATGAAGTTTGTAAAATTTTCTTCAGGGGCTCAGAGAAGAGAAACGGTAACTCTGAATTAGTTAAATATGGTAAGATTTGGAGGTACAGATAAAATTTGAGCTGGACCTCGAAGAATGAAAAGAAAAATTGATTCATAACAATAAAAATGTTTAGTTGGTACCATAAAAAATTAGATCAGACTTTCAGGTAACAAGTAGATGAACCAGTTGAAAATTCAACATCCCTTTTTGGTGTGTAGTGTTGATACTTGCAAGGCATAATCAGGTGTACTTTAAGCTATTGGCTTAGAAGACACTGAGTTATCTGGCTATGTATTTTATCAATTATAGAAAACTTTTAAGAATACATAATTATGATTCTCAGCAGGAAGATCTGGAGTGTTAATATTAAAAAGTAAAAAGAAAATACTGATCTTTTCTCATTTTTCTAGGTTTCGTTGCTTTCTTTCAAATCACAGACTAATTCACTCTATAGCATTACCTTTTCATTGCATTTTTGAATTCATAGGTAAAACAGTAAGCAAAAATAGCTAGAAGAACTTTCTATAGAGGCATATGGTCCAAATTTTCTGTTTTTATGCCCATGAATTTTTTTTCTGTATTCAATAGTGTTAATCCACACAGCAGAGGGGAATCAGACTGATTGTATTTGCCACATGCCTTTAAATTTTAATTTAAAATTAGAATGAAATTAATAAGCCAGTGAGCTACTCATGAGCTTTCTAGAAAACAATGGTCATACTGGATGTTGCTCAAGCCTGAAGGGACATAGAAGCAAGTGAATTTTTACATTTCATTTGCTTCTTAAATTTCAATTCCCTGTAGAGGGGAAAAGGAATTTAGCATTTAACATCAAAGAAAGAATACAATGGGTAATATACAATGCTTGCTATGAATAGAAGGGCAAGATTAATTAACAATAATATAAATTTGAAACACTTAAGAAATTTTCTTGAGATTTTTGTAACTGTGAAAGAAATGTGCTGCTAGTCTCTCTTTTAAAGAATAAACAAAGTATTCACACAAAAATTGAGTAAAGCCTGATAAAAAAGCAAAGATAATTACTATTTAAAAAGAGATTCTCAGCATGTTTTACATTTTGAAATCAATAAACATTAGTAAAAATACAGTCTTTTCATTTGTATTTCTATTGATTCTCTTAAAATGAGCAGGAAAGTAATGGTCTTTGTTGGAATCATTAGTGAGACACAGATTATCAGCTAAGAAAGCATCCCTGTGCTCCCTCTCCTGTTCTTCTTGTTTAAAGCAGGCCATGTCTTGGTTGGTAAGTGCTGAAGTTTGCTCAGATGCTCTTGCAATTCTGGACTATTTTAGGACTCTTTCTCCTTTTTCTGTCTGGTCTACAGACTTGAATCCCAAATGACTGCTGATATCCAGACCATCTTACAGCTGCTGCAGAAACAAACTACTGTGGTCCCCCCAGCCTACAGTATGGTAACTGCAGGAACAGAGTATCAGAGACCCATCCTCCGAATGATGAGAGCCAGCCATCCCATAGCATCCATTAAGACTGACCGAAGTTTCAGCCCTTCCTCACAAGTAAGTGTAGATGCTGTTCCACCACGAGTATTTCTTAAAGTGTTTCCAGAGACCATTTGAATAAGTTACCTTGGATGCTGTGGAAAACAGATTTCCATCTCTACCACTCTTTCTACTCAATTAGGATTTCTGAAAATGGGCTCTGTAATCTGCATGATGTGCCTTTGAAGACAGAAAATGGACACAGAAGAATAATTTTAAACACTAGCATTTTTTTTTAAAGCAAATGCTCTTTTCAGAATCAACCTAGGTGATTTACATGCTATAGAGATTTGAAAGCTAAGGAATAATTCTAGATCAAAAAAGTGCATCAGAGAAAAAAGCAGGTCATTCACTACACTGCTAAGGATGGGGGAGGGGGAGAAGGGAGGAATCTCTGGAAGAAAAGAAATCACAGTTGGCCAGATTACAAACTGAGGTTCAAGCACAGTCTGTGCCCTACCCACCAGAGATGTCTAAATTTTTTCACCATATGATACACATGGAAAAAGGGAGATTATAAAATACCCTTTGTCTCTGAAGCTCTCCAAGAGGACCCTTTTGATTTTTATTATTCTTTTTAGATATTTATGACACTAGAGTGTATTTTGACATATTATACATACATGGAATATAACTTACTCTAATTAGGATCCCATTCTTTTGGTTGTACATGATGTGGGGTTTCACTGGTTCTGTATTCATACATGAACATAGGAAAGTTATATCCAATTCATTCTACTGTCTTTCCTATTCCCATCCACTTTCCCTGGCCTTCATTCTCCTTTGTCTAATCCAATGAACTTCTATTCTGCCAACCCCCTTATTGTGTCTTAGCATTCATATATCAAAGAAAACATTCTGCCTTTTTTTTTTTTTGGACTGACTTATTTCACATAACATGATAGTCTCCAGTTCTATCTATTTATCAGCAAATGCCACAATTTCATTTTTATTTATGGCTTAGTAATATTCCATCGTGTATATAAACCATATTTTCTTTACTATTCATCTGCTGGAGAGCACCTAGGTTGGTTCCTTATCTTGGCTATTGTGAATTGAGCTTCTATAAACATTGATGTGGCTGTGTCACCATAGTATGCTGACTTTAAGTCTTTGGGTTATTAGCCGAGGAGTAGGATAACTGGGTCAAATGATGATTCCATTCCAAGTTTTCTAAGGAATCTCCTACTGCTTTCCATAGTAGTCACACCAATTTCAAGTCCCAACAGCAATGTATGAGTGAACCTTTTCACTGCATCCTTTCCAACATAATTATTGTTACTTGTATTCTTGATAATTGCCATTCCGACTGGAATGAGATGAAATCTCAGTATAGTTTTAATTTGCATGTCTCTAGTTGCTAGAGATGTTGAACATTTTTTCATATATTTCCTGACCATTCATATTCCTTCTTCTATGAAGTGCCTGTTCAGTTTTATTGCCCATTTATTGATTGGGTTATTTGTTTTTCTGCTGTTAAGTTTTTTGAGTTCTATATGTATCCTGGAGAATAATGCTGTATCTGAGGTACAGCTGGCAAAGATTTTCTCCCACTCTGCAGGCTCTCTCTTCACATTCTTGTTTCCTTTGCTGTGAAGAAGCTTCTTAGTTTGACACCATCTCATTTATTGAGTCTTCATTTTACTTATTGCCCTTTAGGAGTCTTGTGGAGGAATTCAGTTTCTAAGCTGACATAACAGAGTTGGGCCTACATTTTCTTCTAGTAGGTGCAGAGTGTCTCTGTACTGAATGCCTAGGTCCTTGATCCACATTTGAGTTCAGTTTCGTGCAGGGTGAGAAATAGGGGCTTAATTTCATTCTACTACATATGGATTTCCAGTTTTCACAGTGATACAGGTCTTGGAAATCAGGTTAAGGTCCTCATTTCCCCTTTGTTGAAAGATTAAACAAGTGAGAAATGCCAAGAGAAGTGTAGAAAGCAAGTTTTTTTAAAACTTTTTTTTATTGGTTGTTCTAAACATTACATAACTCATGATATATCATCTTTCATACATTTGATTCAAGTGGGTTATGAACTCCCATTTTTACCCCAAATACAAGTTGCAGAATCACATCGGTTACACATACACATTTTTCCATAATGCCATATTAGTGACTATTGTATTCTGCTACCTTTCCTATCCCCTACTATCCCCCCTCCACTTCCCTCCCATCTTCCCTCTCTACCCCATTAGCTGTTGTTCAATTCTCTCCCTTGTTTTTTTCTTCCCTTTCCCCTCACCATCTCTTATATGTAATTCTGTGTAACAATGAGGGTCTCCTTCCATTTCCATACAGTTTCCCTTCTCTCTCCCTTTCCCTCCCACCACTCGTCTCTGTTTAATGTTAGTCTTTTCCTCATGCTCTTCCTCCCTGCTCTGTTCTTAGTTGCTCTCCTTATATCAAAGAAGACATTTGGCAGCATTTGTTTTTTAAGGATTGGCTAGCTTTACTTAGCATAATCTGCTCTAATGCCATCCATTTCCCTGCAAATTCCAAGATTTTGTTGTTTTTTAGTGCTGCGTAATACTCCATTGTGTATAAATGCCACATTTTTTTTTATCCATTCATCTATTGAAGGGCATCTAGGTTGATTCCAGAGTCTAGCTATTGTGAATTGTGCTGCTATGATCATTGATGTGGCAGTATCCCTATAATATGCTCTTTTAAGGTCTTCAGGGAATAGTCCAAGAAAGGCAATAGCTGGGTCAAATGGTGGTTCCATTCCCAGCTTTCCCATGAATCTCCATACTGCTTTCCATATTGGCCGCACCAATTTGCAGTCCCACCATCTATGTGCAAGTGTACCCTTTTCCCCACATCCTCGCCAGCACTTATTGTATGAAGCAAGTTTTATTTAAGAGACAACAGAGATAGCAGGCTTCTGGGTGCCTGCAGGAGTGGGTGTGTCTGTCTGTTTTGTAGATCCCAGATTTCTTCTCCCTCCTTGTCTTCCTCCCTCTCTAACCTTCTCTTTCTTTCCTGTGTGGATGCCTAAGGGCAAAAAGGAACAGCCCAGGGGATAATCATTAGCAACTTCTAGTGGTGGAATGTGTGATTCCCCAGAGGTGTTAGCAACCTGTTGAGCCAGGGAGATGTTCAGGAGGTGTTAGCAACTCCTTTCCTTTTCTTTGGTGATGGGTCCTCATCTTGGGATGATTTGGATCTTTTACTATCTATACTGACTACCTGTCCTTTGCTCCTGTCTCACCAGCACCCTTTGTTGAAGAGGCTATCTTTTCTCCAGTGTAGGTTTATGGCACCTTTGTCTAGTGTGAAATAACTGTATATATGTGAGTTTGTCTCCGTGTCCTCTGTTTCATTGGTCTTTATATCTGTTTTGGTGCCAGTACCATGTTGTTTTTGTTACTATATCTCTATAGTATAATTTAAGGTTGGTTATTGTGATGCTCCTGCTTTACTTTTCTCCCTAAAGATTGCTTTGGTTATTCTGAACTTCTTAAATTTTCTTTTGATTTTTTTAATATGAAAAGTTTAACTCCATCAGAATTCCATGTTGGGCATTAGCTTTAAATACTTAAATATCACGGCCAAATCATACTAAAAAATGATGATTTCAATAAGGATTTATAGAATAATCTTGTAAAAGTTTTTTTTTTAAAATGTTTGGGAAGTTACTGTAAAACATTCTAGGAAATGAAATCACATTAATAACAGAAGGTAATGTGCCAGAAGGAAAATAATAGCAATCTTTCTAAAATATGAAAATAGGCATTAATTTATCTTTAGTTTTTAATGGAAGGGAAACATGTAAAACTATGTATTTTTTTTATTTACAGGGGATTCAAATAGTCTCATCTGATGAGTGTGATGATTTTAATTCCTTTCTTATTTCTCTTCTTTCCTCCCCAATAGATCTAGTCACCAAGTGGCCATAATTTCCATTACATCTTGGTCTTAAATTTTGAGTTAAACTGATTTAAAAAATTCATAGCGAGATTTTTTTAATCTGATTATTTGGATATCTGAGTAAAATTAAAGTTCTTGGAATTGTTGTTTAAGGATTATCTAAACTGATCATGGGGCATCCAATGTCTTTTTATTGTAGGATAAAAATGTGGGTTAATTTTTTTAACATGGGTTAATTTAATACCACTGATAAGATTAATTGTGGAAAATTACTGGAATTTTATAAATATAATTATACATGACTGTTGGTGTGAATTATAAAAATGTGTTTTCTTTTCTTTCTATCAGTGTCCTGAATTTCTAGACCTTGAAAAATCCAAACTTAAATCCAAAGAATCCCTCTCAAGTGGGGTGCATCTGAACACAGCTTCAGAAGACAACTTGACTTCACTTTTAAAACAAGACAGTGATGTCTCTTTAGAGCTTCACCTGCGACAAAGAAAAACTTACCTTCACCCAATAAGGCATCCTTCTTTGCCAGATTCTTCCTTAAGCACTGTAGGAATCTTGGGTCTTCATAGGCATGTTTCTGATCCTGGTCTTCCAGGGAAATAATCATTTTGTATTATTTACTCCACATACAATGTAAGTGCTTTTAATGGCTGTTTTCCTTTTTGTATTTAAATCCTCTCTACTTGACTCAGGGGCTCACAAGGTACCATTATATGCAAAAGTACTGTATATTTTTCCTAAATTGAAGCTTATAAGGTAAAATTGAGCAGTTAAGATGTAAATATACCTAAGAACTTTTGGTTCCAATTGTTAAAACTGCCAGCATCTCAAGGCACCTTATTTTTTATTTTTATTTTCAAAATCATCTGCATGTTAGGAAACTCCAATTTCTCTTGCATGGAGACTCCTATTTACTGCTTTTACTAAACCAGTACTTTGTTATGAAAATGCCTTCCAAGCAAATAAGAAACCAAGGGATAAAACTGTTCTTGGATGCAACTCAGATGATCCTCAACTTATGGATATTCAAGGGGATAAAGGGGACTTAGTCACTTTTGAGAATTGATGTCTTTCTGTATTGAGATGTTTATAGTTGCTTACATTCATTTCCCCGTACTGAAAAAGAAAATGCAAATTTTGAGAGTTGTAGCCTCAGACAGCAAGCAAGGTAGATCATATTAGAGGGGAGAAAATATAATTTTTTCTCAATTCTTAACAAGTTTTTAGCAAGACATACTTCTGTAACAAAAGGCAGAATATTTTAACAAGAGAAACATAAGAACATTTATTACTGAAAGCAGTTCAGAAGTAACTCAAGGCAGTGGCTTAGTGTCCTAGCTTATATAAGATCTTCAGCAAAGAAAATACATTTTAGAGAAGTAACAGGACAAAAAGAAAGCAGTCCCAGGTTTCCAAAGGCGGGAAAACCGTGGGAAGGAGTAAAGTCTGCTCCCAGATTTCTTTGGAGCTACAATTTCTGAGCTGATAAGCAATCTGCTGTAATGGAGAATTTACATCCTTTCTTTGGGCAGGAAGGTGGGAGGAAAATAGAAAGACCTTTTGTTTTTATGAATCTGTGTCCTGATTTTAGGCAAACAGATTGAAAAGGCAGAAATCTCTCCTGCATTTTTATTTTCTTCAGCAACAATCTCATATTTTAGAGAGAAGTATTTTCATTTCTTTCAACATTGAATACAAACCAGCATTAATGAGAATAAAAAGGTCTTTCTATTTAAAATTCTGTCACTAATTGCATTCACAAAACATCTAAAATAGTTTACACTCACACATTTCCTTGAAGGCTAAAATACAAGTTTCTTGAACTTTTCCTTTTAGGGGGAGAGGATCTTCTTTAAGAACTGCTGAAGTGTGACTGATACAAACTGATGATCACAGCTTTTTTCCCAATTCATATTGTAGGGCAATCCTAAATTTGATCAAAATGGTAGATCCACATAGTTTTCTTTACCAAGAAAGCTGGAAGAATTTTTTCAAAGAACATGCAATTTCATGTGCATGGCCTATCTTTCAAAAAGTCTATGTTGTTTTCAAGCTGTCCAATTCCAGATACCTAGGAAAAAAATGCACACATCAATGGTTAAACTTAAATTTTCTGTGGCTGTTCAAACATTTTGCTAATTTAAGATTAAGAACAAATACATTCGGTATAGATTGGGCTTAATTAGTATATATTGACTCCAGAGTACTGGAACATTCAGTAGGATATGTTTTAATAGCTTCAATTGTTAGGTTGAGGGATCAAATAGTTCTCATAATACCAGAATACAGAAAATAAATACAAAGACAAGTTCAAGTTAAGAGATTTTATTTTTAATTTAATTATAATTTTAAAGTATTATAGAATAATCCATTATAGCCTTTTCTTCTGAACTAAGATTTTGAAATTTGTTGAAATTTCTTATCACTTCACTAAGTTTTACATTCATATAAATATTTAAAGAAATGTTCTACCTGCACATTTTTAAATGGGTTAATTTCTATCCCTTCAGGATAAAAAAACAGAATCTATTGATTTATCTTCACCTTTGACACTAATCTATTGGTCAGTTTCAAATGCAAATGATTTATTTAAATTTCCAAAAATGATTACACTATATATAATGTGACTTAAGTGATCTTAAATTGCTCCCTGTATATTTTCAAATGGCCACATAAATTGAGAATCTATGTGGAAGGAAATCCATAGATAGGCATTAGCATGTTCTCATCTCTGCTTAATAAAAAAAGTCATAAGTGATCAAGTATATATACATATATAGCAAAAGACCAGTCAATTCAACAAAAGTATAATATTGAAGCCAGCTTCCTAAACCATTTAGTGTTATGCAGAAGCAACCTTGGGACTAACTGCCACTTCAATCCTTCATTTAACAAACATGTAATGGATGCATAACCGGGGAGAGAGAGTCACATAAATAGCTAACTTTTATTCTGAGGTCTATTTAGGGATTTATTTCCATATTGGGGCACACTTTTTGCAGCTGCAACAAATTTCATAAGGACTATAGGTCTTAGCTCCAGGAACATTCAGAATGAATTCACTAGAGACTGTTCATTTGTAGAGAGAGAGGATTTGGCAGGTGAGGAATTGAGATGATTGTTTGATTAGTGAATGCTTCAGCTGTAACATTTGATATGACATGCATAAAATTCAGCCATCCACACAAAGCCTCTATTTGTACTTCATAAAATCTGAGCATGCAAGAATGGGAAGATGGAGAATAGTGTGCAAGTATCCTGCTTGTTTAAATTCTAGCATAACACTAACCTGCTTTTCTTTTTTAATTCCTTGACATAAAATAACTACTTGATAGTAAAATCTGAAGTCTTAGCGAGGGAACAGGATTATAAATTTAGGTCCTTCCCCCACAGGATGTTAGCTTTAAAATAAAAAGCCTGAGCAATATAAAGATGTGGTTAAGTTGGGCATAAGTGTCAAAAGACTCAATGGTTAAACTGGCCTATGGATGTCCAAATCAATTAACTTAATGCACAAAATTCATTCCCTAAATCAGCGAAAGATCTGATGCCTAAAAACACTAATGCCCTCCCCATCAGCTGTAGCAAAATCAGTCTGACATAATCTGGGGAACCTGCTGAAGGCCAGGTCAATGGTGCAGTCAATCAAAACAGCAGTGTAGGAACTATTTTCCCTTGGGATAATTGGGAGTACTAACATAACACCTTTTACTTTCCACTGAAAAATAATATTACCTGGTCCCCTGGCCTAAATAAAATGTCATCTAAAATCTACAGTTCATGTCGATTAGATGCTGATATTCATTGCTGAACAGAGAGCTGAAACAGCCTTAAAATTGTATCACATTTTAAGGTATACAATTAATTTTGAGATGGGGTTTCTTGTTCTTTGATTAATTGAATAAAAAATCAGAAATAAAAAGGCTGACGCAATGTTTCACAGGATTTTTAATTTAATAATCACTAATTTAAAAACATGGGAAAGTAGCAGGTAGAAGTGGAAGAGTAATGTGTTGAGTCCATTATAAAGGGTTGTTCATCAGAATTGAAATTTCCTACTCTTCTAGCATATATAGGTATAGAAACTAAGTCAGGGTTTGGTGTCAGGTTTGGTGTCACTATTATACCTGTCACTGTCAGGTATAATATATTGAATCAGAACTGCTGTACTATAATTGTACCAAGTTTTTTTGAAAGTTGATATTTAGCAATGGCTCCAGAACAGCTAGAAGAAAAATGTTCTTATGCAAATGTCATTTTAAATTCCGTCCTATACTGTACTAGCTAAAGATAAAACTTTTAACCTCATCAGCATATCTAAAATAATAATAATATTTAACAAATAATACTTATAGTTCCCCTGAATACTTTCATGGTTACCAAAAGGAATTCAGTAGACTGATCAGTTATTAGAACTAAGGATATTTACATTGACTATTTTATAATTTAAAATAATGAAGTCTTTAAATTTCTTCTCCAGTATTAAAATCAAAATCAGATCTGTCTATCTAGATAGATGATAGATTTCATAGTTAAAAAATCAAAACTATTTAAATTAACAAAAATTAAAATGTTACTAAGTTTCTAGTCACATTTTTTGAGTAAAACAAATATGTCTATCATGTGAGTTCAAAGAGGAACTTGGAAGACATTATGACATAGGACAGTGGTCCTCAAAGTGTGGTTCTTAAGCTAGCAGTACTAGAATCACCAGAGAACTTATTAAAAATGCATATTCTTACACCTTACCCCAGATCTACTAATCAGAAAATTTGGGGCTGGCATTTGGCAATCACCTTTGAAGAAGCTCTCATCCACATGATCCTCAGGCACATTAAAAATCTGAGATTAGTTGGGCTTGGTGGCTCTTGCCTCTAATCCAAGAGACTCAGAAGACTGATGCATGAGGATCCCAAGTTTGAGGGCAGTCTCAACAACTTAGAGAAACCCCATCTCAAAATTAAAAAATAAAAATGACTGGGGATATAGCTAAGTGTTAAAACACCACTGTGTTGAATACACAGTACCCCCCAAAATTAGGTCACCATGCAGAAGAACAAGCATAGGCTCTGCAATCAGACCAAATGAATCTCAACAGGAACACTTTCTCTAATATGCCCTGTGACCCTAAGCAAATTAATAACCTCCCTGAATCTTTTTCCTGAATCTGTAAAAAATGAGATAGTGGTATCTGCCTCACAAAATCTTGAGGAAATGAGATAAAATATAGTAAAGTGCCTGGCACACAGTAGGTGCTCAAAAAATGCTAGAATCTTTGTTTCTTACCCAAAAACATGACATTGAAAACAATCAGGAAAAAACAGGTAATTTTCCACAAATTAGCTTCTGCATATTAGTTACATCGCTAACTAAATAACTGTTACCAAGACTAACGTTTTTGATTCAGAAAAAACTAAATGTAGCTATTATCTCTCTTAATTGTATTTTGCACTAGTAGGTTTATAGCTTTAAAGTAATACCATTTACAACAATAATAGTGGGAGTATGACTCTCGTTAAAAACATATCTACTCTGAATCAATGTTAAACACCAAGTATGCAAAGGTGATATGTCCAATTCAGTACTACCAGAATGTATTCTATAAAGGCTGGCACACTGTGGAAGTCCATCCTTGGACATGTTATAGTTCACAGATGTATATTTGAACATGTATTTACAGAATGCAATTTTGAAAGTAAATGTGCTTTCTATTTTTACAGAAAATAGAATTTTGCAGTTGTAATGATTATTTCCAGACCCACTTCCTCATTGCACAGTTATATTATACATATCTTACGCTGCCTAAACTCTCATGTAGAATGGTAGACATGGCAAGGAGCTCAATGCAATAAACCTGAATTCAAATCCTACCTTCTCTAGTTATTCCTGAGATAAATTGCTAGTGATCCCCAGTATCCAAAAGTACAAATTGGACATAGCATGTCATTCCTTGAAGGTATGTGTTGAGGATCCTCTGAATTTATATGTGGAAGTGCTATATAACACACAAATTACAGGACAATTGTAAGATCCTGTGACTTGTGCATCACAAAGAGAGTGGTTTATGGCATTAGTGCAAGAGCAGCACTTAACCTCTTCTCTTGCTGGTTCCTCAACCCCACATTCAACACACTTAACACTCTGTAACAAAAATCTGTAAGGTGACTTTCACCCACACCCCAAAGATCTCGTTGCTAATAACAAGAGAATATCAGTGTCAGGGAATCTTTCTCTTCTTTCCTATCCCTATAGATGTCAAATATTGCCTTTTTCCAACATCCTTAAACTACATTTGCATTTCAGTTGTTTTCTATGTATGCAAGTAGCTTCCTCTCTCATTTCTCAAGTGTTTAATTCAAAACAACTTTCTTGTGGTTATATTTAACTTATGATCAAGTGATGTTAGCATTTTTAAAACTTAGAAGGATCATGTTTTAACTACTTTATAAAGTATTAGATATTGTGATGGATGAGTGCCCAAGTTTAGAACAATTCATTACCTTCTCTTGTGGCACAAACACTTTGTTTTGATGTATAATATAGAAAAGAAAATTTACAGAAGACATGGATTATTAATACTTGGGAGCATAAAATGAAATTACTGCAAGGCTTATTTATATAGACTAAGTGGAGGTTGAGATGACCAGTCAGATGTTATTTTAAACAATTGTTATTACTATGAATATAAGCACAAAACACTATACTCAACTGACCAATTATACTGCTCTAGCAATCAAAATTAAACTTTTAAATAGAAAATTATAAAAATGGCCTCAACAAAATATTTTGAAAAGTGAAATTATTAACATGGTTATTCTTGAAAAGCTAATGTCAAAAATGAGATGAATGCCTAAATTGCACTCATGACAACTTCTATTAATTAATTCATATTTTGAAAAACGTGATATAATTTGGGACACCTGTAGTTTCAAAACACTGTATGATTAATCTATATTCTATGGATTTCCTCTATTTTGGTATTGTTTTAAAATTCACAACTGTGAAAATCACAACTGTGAACATTTTAACTATTATTTTTCACTATTTCATGTGTTAAGTATTTGAATACATAAGAAATGTACTCAAATGTAGTCATCATTCTTATTGAAGAGTATACTCAAGGATCAGTTATCTTATAATTAACTCCTTCACAGAGTCGCCTCAAATGCCCTTATAGTTAAAAGACCAGTGAAATGATATGACACCCTTCTTCCAATTGTAAAAGAAATTAGGTAAAAATATTGCAGAACCCCTAGTTATCTCCTAGGCACCTACTGATTTTAATTAAAGGCACATTACATTTTTTTACCTGATATTTTCATTTCATAATTTTGGTAATAAAATGTATTATATCAGAATGTTTGCAAGTTAAAGAATAATGTATTTCAAAAAAAGAATGTGTGTCAGTCATCTCATATAAAGAAGCTCACTCACATCTGGTTAAGTAATACTTTGGAATGCTTTAAACTAAATGAAACAAACTACCAAAACACATACTACTTTGTAGTCTTTATGCACATAATGTAGCATGAAATCATGATGCTTTTGAAATATTCTGTGCAGAAATATTTATTTTTTAGCAAATATTTTCTTCAAAGATTGGTATGTGGTATTGACAGTGTAATCTACTTGCACAACTAGTTTTGCAATAACCTTCTACAAATGACTGTAAATAAGAAAAATGTAAATTTTATGTAAAAATGGTTGCAAATTTTTGGTAGCTAAAAGAGGTGTACAAGTTGTATTGAAAATATAGTATATATACATAATTTAAGAATGAAGCATATAATTTCTGATCTATTTATACACAAAAATTCAAGAATTTGTAAAAGAAATTATTTTGGGGAAAAGAAAGAAAATCTCATTAGCTAGATAGGATACTTTTATTAGAAAAGCCAACTATTTCCAACATTTCACAAAGTACAGTACTAGATATAGGCATGGTGGTGCTGATGTATTTCACAAAATCACAAAATTGTAACAGTGCTAGAGTTTTGCTGAGCTCCATTAGGATACTAACTAGTAAGCTGGACTGAGTGGTACCAAACTTTAAACCTAAAGTTAAAGAAATATAAAAACATTTAACTTACTACCCCTCAAGACCACTGTAATAATTAACAAAAAGATGAACTGTTTACTTAAAATTCCTAATGGCTAAACAGGCTTTAAGTTATATGTAAAACAACCTTTTATAAATGTATCCTTGATGCATTTTTAAATAAGAATGAAAGTAACCAGATAATATTTTCTTTTGTCTAAGCTTCATATTTTCTTAATTCATTCTCTAGTTGCTCCACTACTATTTAAGAAAACAAAAATTATCTTGAAAGAAAACTTTCAAATGAAATGTGTTGGTCAAAATGTGGCATGTTCTAAGCTAAGGATAGTTTAGTCCTGTTTAGTAGCTTAGATTCCTCACCCTTCATTTATAAGATTTTAAACACCATGAGAACATTTGCCTATGTAATGATGAAAAATTAACCAAATTCAAGTAGCAGATACAAGTGAGGCTGATCAGAACACAAGTATCTTAGCGTTAAACGGCTAAATATCTTCAAACTTTTCCGTAAGATTAATTATCTCTTGCCATAAGATAAATTTGAGGGTCCTGAATTTAGATAACTATGGGAAAATTAAATATACATTTAAAAGATCAGTAAATCTTATGATCATTATTAAATGAGTTATAATTTTGAAAACAATATGGATCTTTAATCAATGTTTCTGGAACTTTTATATTCACACTTTCAGGCTATCCTTTGAAATCTCAGCGATCATATCAACATAAAATTTGATTAAATAATACAACCAACTAAAATACAAATGACTATATGCATGTATCTATATATCTATATATACATATATACACATTTATATTTTTATGCTTAAGGGAAAAGGTTGGAATTCCTCCCAAATGTATCAGAACTGGGAACTAATCATTCCTGGCAATACATGCCTCTGAATATAGCTATTTAATGATGTCTAGACCAGTTCTTCTTGGTCCCTGTAAGCTTCCCAAATTGCCACCATCTCTTGATGTCACAGAAGTGGCAACCTGAAAATATAACTAGCACATAGGCAAAGGCCCTATCTATCTTTTAACTAGAGCACATCGTAGTGATATAGAAGTGCTGCCTAGGTTTACTTGCTATATATTCTGATATACAGAAGCAAACCTGAGTTTTGAACACATGCAAAATAATACACAAAGCACATTGCAAGCTACTTGGATAAAAGGGATATTAAATATATAATAAAGCTCTTTTCTTTATATGCCAGAAAAATATGTTTTAAAACAAGTAGAAAGAGACATGGCAGGAAACAATCAAAAGCACAGATTTTTCTGACAGTTTCCCCTGGGTTTCCCAGGATTTTTCTGGAAGGTAGTTTTGTGCTCAGTACTCTAAATCACAGGAAATTTCTAATTTAATATTTGGATATATGTGATGATTTGATCTTATTCTAGATGATAAATCATCTGAACAATATTCATTTAAAACTTCAGGCCTGGGATAGAGCTCAGTTGCAGAGCACTCATCAAGTATGTGCAAGGCCCTGAGTTCAATCTCCAGCACTGCATACACAAAATTTACAATTAAAACCTTGTCTACACTGTAAGTTCTAAATATTTTACATGTATCATCTAATATTATGTGTATACTCTAGACATACTATTAGATAATACCTTGGCATCATGCATTCATTTGAAAATGCTTAATTTACCATGAAATGATTAACAATAAAAATGGGATCTCTTAATACAAATCTCAAAGTAATAAAACACCCCCAGTTGCATTTTAAAGTTTAAGGGAAATTATGTGCTAACATGAAAGAAGTCTTGGATTCTATTCCAACAGATTTAATTTCCAAGATTTTTAATAAAGTTATTCCTATTGATTCCAAATAATACTGTCATAAACAAAATAAAACATCATTTTTAAGGTTGTCAAAACACAAAAGAACATAGAAAAGCACATTTCTGACAAATAATATTTATTTTGTTTGTCCAGTTTAGTAATGCCATAAGATTACAAATAAACTTGATTTGTATATTTTAAATAAATAATCACAAAATTATTTTGTTATTTTTTAAATTGCACAAGAGTTTAAACTACCTTAATAAAATCTACTTTCTTTCAGGGTAAATGCCTTTTCTGGAAATAAATACATAACTTGACTACATTTTTGTTACTTTTTTTTGGATGCATGCTTAAAATAGATTAAATGAGCACAGTCCTTGAAATTACAATCAAAATGGACCAAATGAAAATTCCCATAGTATTGACTTCCCCTTGATGTAATTTAAAATGTGTGAACTGCCACTCGAAATAGAAGTGCAATACCTGACATTTAACCATTTGGCAGTCTTTTAGATATAGGTGAATTAATGCACTGTTGTTTGAACTGAAGCATAATACTATATATGTAATAAATTTTGTATGATACAAAACTTTACAGCAAGCTATTTGAATGTTTATTAAAAAATTCTCAAAATGACATGGAAACATGTTTACTGTATAAATAAAAGCACTTATACATTAAGAGTGTACATTATTCAGTACTTTACATCATCACAATTGGGGTATAAGTTAACCAATACAAACTATCACACACTATTTACATTGCAATTGTGTCCATCACAAAACAAAAAAGATATCTGTTCACATTAATTATGTTAACAGCATCAAAAAAGTGAAATGCATTTCTATACAAAAATCCTGATAAAAGATACTGCCTAATGTGTTTATAAGATTGTTAATTTGATTATAATATAAAAGCATTGCCTGATGATGAAGCTAGATCAGAAGGGAATATAGGTTTTGCTAGGAAAAAGGGTTCTGTGGTCAACATTTTGGAATAACCTGAGTCAAACCATGATAATTTGACATAACCATATGTACCTATGCATATTTTCATATGCTAATGTATGTTATTAAACTCCCTGAAGATGAGAATTTCCAATTATGTTTGGCCATGGAAACTTCACATCTCTCAACACCAAAATGCATAGAAGCATCTTTAAAAAAGAATGAGTTAGGGAATTGTGTGAAGAGTTCTAATACAAGGGTCATTTGGCAGAAACTTTTATGAACAATAGTGTATGTTAAATTTAAAGTTTTACCCCAACTGTGAGCCTCCAAGTTAGGAAGACTATCATAACTGACCATCTTACAGGATGCAATGACAATTCTCTACCTAAACATAGAACAGCATATTAACTTGATAATGTATCACCTATAAGTTAAGGTTCCAAGTTCCTGGGTTATATCATTACCATTATACAACATGAATGATCACACTATCTGGTTTCTTTTTCCTGCAACTTTTAAAATTATACTTATGTATTGTTATGACTCAGGTAATATCCTCTCACATTAATAAATATATGTCCATGAAAAATAAAATAACAGCCAGAGGACAAAACTATACAGATTATTTTTGATCCATTATTATTAAACTAAGTGAATTTGACAGCAAATTATAAAAAACTGTCATTGTCAAATAATTATATATTTCTTCCTTTCTTTTAAAATTTATGATTTTTAAAAGTAAAAGGTAATTTTCAATTCATTTATAAAAGGGTTTTTTTCCAAGATGGACTATCACCCATCTTCCATCCTTTACAAAATATGGAGTTTTAGAAAAACTGTATGTTAATTTGGTTACCAGCCAGACTAAAATTATATCGATTTATAGTCACCTTCAGGCTGGAAGATGTTCAGATAAAGTGTGAGAAAAACATGTGGTTTATTAAATCTTCATTAAGAAAGACTTAGGTTGTTTGCCAAGAAAGAAACTACATTAATTATGACAGCTTATGCCAGGGATCTCAATGTTAAGAAATTGGTGACTCTGCTTTATAATTTCTGTAGTAAAACCACCAAGAAATGTTGTTGTGGTGTCTCCTATACCCAATAACCCATATTACAAAGATATAATCAGAATAGTTATTGATTTACTAATATTAAAGCCACTTGCTAATGTAGTCAAATAACCCAAACTTACAACTTTGTAAGATCTAAATACAGGCATAGCTTACTTGATTTAGAACTTTATAAACAGTTGACATAATAATATCAACTCAGTTTAACAACAAATTTAAAAGTTGACGATTTCTCAAAAATGTGTCATTACCCCAATCTAGACTTAGAGAAAAATGAAATTTCAGGTTATGTATGTTTTCACTAATGAAATACAAGCCAGAAGGAAAATCTGGTTTTTAAAGAACTTTTTATTTCACAGTATACAGTATAATATATTGAAGAAAACTATGCAGTGCAAAAAAATTTTAAAAAGGAAAAGCAATGCCTACTGTAGTTTTTTTCTATAGATTCAAATTAGGATACATTTGTAGTAACTGCAATTTTCTTTTTCATAGGCAAAAACTTAAAAGGTTATGTTCTTTGATTATGTGATCAAAGAACAAATCCTACAACAAAGATGGCACAAAATCCAGACTTTCCCTTCTAGCTGACCCTCAAAAACCTACCTCTACAAATACAATTCAAAAGTGTAATCTGTATCTCTCATATAAGTATAAATTTATCTAAGCTTTAGTCATTGGCTTCTTTACATAATCTTACATAATTTCATTAGTACATTCCTCTAGGTTTTCACTGTTAAAAATTAAGGGTAAGAAGTTTTGACACCAATTAATTCGTGCCAATATTCTACAACAGTGTGCAGATATTTGCAAAATGATAACTTTTGGGAAAAAAAACAATCTTTATCTTTTCTTGCTTTGAACTATGGATTAAAGTAAAAACACATAGTTAGGAAAAAAATTAAACAAGTAGGATCAGAAAAAGTACCCAAAGTTTTAATTTAAGTTAGTCCAGTTCACTTCTTCCAAGCAAACAAATTCACAGTATTTCTTCTGCTTTCAAATACAAGGCATTCAAATTACCATGGTCCCCTGCAAAAACTAATTACATAAGTAAAATTATCATATGGTAACAATAAAATGCTTTTTAATTGATTATATTGCTTAAAAGATTTTTCATAACAGGAAATGTTTAAGAGTTTCTTAAGGCTTGTAATTGAAGCCAATATATACTAGTAAGGTATTGCTGATTCTATGATTTATATCAGTAAATATAAAAAAGCAGAACCACAATCCTGAAAATGAAAGCACACGTGAACTATCACTTCCCAATAGCTTCAATTAAAAAAAAAAACTAGAATCATGTTAAACAGTAAACATTTGAAATGAGGAAGAAACAGCTTTATAATTTGTCAGAGATTAAAATATCCCATCTCTCTGAGAATTAAGATCTGCCAAAATAAACTACTCTTAATGGAAATGACAGTTTTTACCCTTAAAGATTATCTGGAAGATAAACTGACCAAAAACCGGTCATTAAATTTTAAAGTACATTTAGGTTTAAAAAATGAAAAAATAAAAGATATTTGTAGTAATTTTGAATGTTATCTATGCATTCAGCTGATAAATAAAAGAAACAATATGGTATATAAAATGAATTACTTCCCACATTTATACCCTAAATCACTTACTTTTTTGGACAACTAAGAACACATTTAGAACACAGTAGCAAAGTGGCAAGCAAGATACTTACGTCATCATAAATTAAGTTCACACACCCTTGTTGCAAGTGGTCTCTTCTCCTAAAGAAATCTTTACACAAAAAATACTTTTAATATTATAATTTAAGATCTATAATTTCAAATATATAATGTCTCCAAGTACAAAGACTCAATAATTTCATATTGATTAAATCTAAAGTGATTTAATATTCCAAGCAACTGAGAGATGAAGGAAACTCCAAAACTGAGCTAAAACAATTTTTCAATATTTTTATTATTAAATATTGAAAACTTAAAACTAATTAGATGTAATAGTAAATAGGTAACATAGAAAGGGTGGACATGTTATAAGGAAACAGCATAATATTGAATCAATTTTTAAATGGTCAATACCTGTCAATGCTCGAAGCTTCACACAGCAAGCAACGTAATCATCAAAGAAAATTCTGCCATTCTTACTATAACGTCTAACAATAGCAGTTAACGTTTGAGGACTCAGCCTATAGCCTAAAAAAAGAGATGGATAAAGTATAATTTCTAAAGCTAAACAGCAAAAGAACACAGCAACATTGCCTTTTTCATTAATAAAGTCATAACATAGATTAACTTTCAAAAGTCATTCCACAAAAAAATATTAAAAATAAAGCACATTAATATTAAAAAAGAATCAAAGGCTTCATTATTAACACCACTAAAGAATACACAAACATCATAATTCTATTCTCACCCAGTAATAAAGTAAAAACTAAGGAAAAAATAATTACCTTTTGTTTTTTAAATGTATTTTGATTTTGATATGTCTAGGTATATTTCCTAGATTTTAACCTTTCAATATTTCAGTTCTGTTTTTATAGTTCCTAAGGAATATCAAAGCAAACTAGGTTCAGTGGTCCACAAACCTGTAATCCCAGCTACTCAGGAGGCTGAGGAAGGAGAAACACAAATTAAAAGCCTGGGCAAACTAGAGAGGTCCTGTCTCAAAACAAATGACTGGGGATGTATTTCAGAGATTGAGACCTTGCTCAGCATATGCCAGGTCTGGTTCAAACTCCAGTAAATGAAAGAATATCCAAGCAAAGATTCTTAGTGATCTTTTCTATCAATCAAATCCTACATTCCTACATTTCCCATTGACTCTTTTTTAATTTGTTCTTATTAGATATACATGACAGTGAGTATATTTGACACTTACATTGAGTATAACTTTTTCTAATTAGGATCCAATTCTTGCGGTTGTACACGATGTGGAAGTTTCGCTGATCATGTATTCATATATGAACATAGGAAAATTATGTCTGATTCATTCTACTGTGTTTCCTATTCCCATCACCCTCCCTTGGGAATCAAAATGCTTACTCCAAAGCAGAAAACAGCTGTGGATATAGCTCAGTGGTAGAACACCTGCCTAGAAATCCTGAGGCCCTAATCCCTGCCACCCCCAAAATAACCTAAAGTGTTATTCTTCCTTGTCTTCCAAACTTTGTTTCTTCACATATTTTGTACTATTTCTTTGGTTCTTTATTCCAGTCTTGTTGTCTCCAGAATTCTTTCTGTGTACTCCTATCATCAAAATGTTTCTTCTGATCATTCACCTCCAGTATCTTTGTGTTCTTAAATTCTATACATATATTGTTTTTTTCCAAAAAGACACTTACAAACCATTTTTATTATTAATTATAGGGAAGTAAGGAAAACAACATACTTACATATATGTTTATAAATATTTCTATAAGAAGATTTATTTCCTTTCAAATGATTTTTAATTTGACAAAAGATCAAAACATATTTGTCATGTACAATGAAACCTGATGCCTTTAAAAACTTATTTCTTCCCTTTACCCTTTTCCTTAAATTCAATGCTCTTTTTTTTCTCATTCCATATTTTTTATTGGTGCATTATAAAATTCAATGCTCTTACAGGCTATCTAAATTGGTAGTGACATTTGGAAGGACAATGAACTAAATCAGTGTGGTATGATTGATTGCAAAGCTGCTCTGTTAGGAGGTAAATATCTGTGGAAGATAAAGTATTCATTCTCTGGTATCTTCAGCCATAATATTCAAAAATGGAGACTGGAGCTCAGGTGATTTAATACCCTACCTATAGCAGACCTGTGTATGAGCACAGTAACAGTGTTGGGCACATTCTCCCATCGTGATGTTCTAGCATGATTTAGGGGCCCCTCCCTCCAAATTATCACTAACCTCTTCCTTCCAATTTTCCTTCTCTTTTCTGTTTTCCCCTTCTCTTTCTTTGAAATATATTGGGAAGAAAACTCCTATAAGTATGCAGTTAGCTTATATTATTAATCAACACCCGAAGCAGCTTTAGCATATAGTACTGTTTGACTACTTACCTTTTACAATATACATAAAAACTGAAATTTTTAAAAAATGAGATGAAAACCAGAAATGTTAATTAATATGTTATATTTGCTATACCCCTAGGATGGTCCTTCAAATTTAATGAGATGCACAAATGTAAGAACAGAATGTTCCATCTGAAGTTGTAATAATGTGTAACACAGGAAACTTGTTAAAAAATATAAAATGAGAGAAATAGCAAAACATGAAAACTACTATAGTTTTATGAAAATGAATTTTGAGTACGATCTGGATAGGTAATATCCAGATAAAATTCCTAAAATTTTCCCATAGTACTCTCAGCAATATCATTTGAATATTTCAGTCCACTTCTTTCTTACATTTAACTGTCCACTTGAATGCTTAGAAAATGTTCTTTTAGTCTAAAGATTATATTACTTTTCTAACATTTTGCTGAATAAAAGACGCAGTTTAATCCATTAGGTATTAAGGCTCTATTAATGAACTATACATTGTTATATGGCAAGTACTGTCCCTAATAAATAAATTATCTATTTAAAACATAAAACAAAAATATCACTAGTTTGAGTTCTTTAAATTATATTTCAGATAAGTCCCTGTAAATTAAGTCCAGATGTTAATTTTCAAAAAGTTAATTTTCATACAAACATTTTGATTAGAAATAATTACAAATAAAAGTACAGGATAAGAAAAATAAAGTTTCTTAAAACTCAATTAACTGTAAACAAATTTAGCAACTTTGTGTATTTTTCTCTTTCAAAAGCAGACCAAGAAAGAACCTTAGCTTATTAGAAATTATAATGAAATAAAGTTACATTCTTTCAAAATATTCAAAAATGCCATCTCCCATTTTGAGGTATATTGTTACATTTTTGTGTTTTATTACGTAAGTGAAGAAGGGGAAAAGCATGGTTTTGGGTGCTGAAAAATTAAACTCTGATATAGAAATTTGTGATTGAGATTAATTTTGTTCCCAAATTACATATCCTTCTCAAGTAACCAAAGAATACAGTGGTGAGTATTAACCATTGAAGAATAAATTTAAACATACCCAAGAAATTTAGAATAAAATGGAAGATCAACATTTGGAAAAAAATCATAGTTAATATAATTTTGACAATGTTGTTAGTCAGAATTTACCTGCAACTTTACTTCAACTAGAGAACTCTAGTGAAAAATATAGCCCTCATTACGGTAGTAAACTGAGAATTAAAATTCATATGTTCAAAGATGACCTGTACAGACTTGACAGAATTTTAATATTCTTACCCATAATAGCAATGGCTTGACTCAGCTCATGATGCTCTACTGTGCCACTTCGGTCTTGATCAATGGTCATGAAGTTCTGTTTCCAGGCATTAAGAGCTGCCCAAAGCTCCTTGAATTCATTAAACCCCATTTTTCCTGTGTAATCTCTCTGATAGTTTTGTTAATGAATATAAGTTTTGGGATCTGAGAAAATGAACCTGACCCAAACTCTGTATCATTGGCTAAAAAATAAGTATGCATCTACAAAGGTAGTCTAAATCAGCATACGAATAGTTTTCTGCATAAAAACATAAATGTCTATAGACAGCTAACAGGATCTCAAAAATATTTTTAAATTCTAGTTTACTAATTGGTTGTCACTTAAAACTAACAATGGGCTTAATATTCATAAAGTAATAACTATATTCTATTCTTTTCTTTTTTCATTCAAGGATACATCCAACATGGCAATCATAATTCTGCAGGTTTCCAAACTGAAGGCTGAAAGACAGTGAATATTTAACTGAAGTCTGCTCAATTTTGTCTATGTAAAATTATGACAATCTTTATTTCCAAAAGAAAATATTTTAAAATTGCCCCAAATACACAATCACCATAATTAACAACCTTCTTTGAATGTTAAGCATTTGTAGGAAAAAAAAAAAAAAGGCTATGTCTTCAAATTACTCATCTCATGATGGATAAGCAATTGCAAAATAATGAAAAATTACAGAGCTATAGGTGTCACAGGTGTTTAAAGCACATGGCTTTGCCTGGGGCCTAGAGACAGAAAGGGCTTCAGTCTTCCAATACAAATGCTGACTGGGGTTTAAGTAGAAGCTTGACTTATACTCAGAAATCACAAAGTGTAAAAGATTTAAGAGTACTCATAAGTAGCATATGAGTACCTCAGAAAAACAAACAAGAGCCAGATACTAACCTCTTCAATACCACTCAAAAGACTAATTAAGGTCACTGAAGGATTTTAAGAAGCAAAAGAGAAATTCTATATTTTCCATTTTAAGGACTTCAGTTTATAATGAATAGACTCTAAAGTGAGATTATACAGAGGGAGGAAAAGCATTTGGTGGCTTATTTCAATGACCAAAAAAAGAAGAAAATGAGCCTCTGAGCTGAAGCCACTGTCCCCCTTTCCCACTGCAAGGGGGAGGGGAGAAGGAAGAAGAAACCAACACAAACTGTCTTAAAGTCAGGGCTTAACAGACATAGTAACACTTTCACACTGATAGTACTAGAAAGAGCCCACTAGATAAACTTCAATTTTTCTAATCCTTATTACAATTTCATTCAACCACTATGCTGATTTATTTTGAGAAGAATTACATCACCACTGTTCACTTAGGCCTACAAAAATCTTACTAGAAACTCGTTAATATGAATGAGTAAGTGGATAAATAATTTTTAAAATTAATTTCACTTTATGCTACTTGATGACATATTTTTAAAGTTTTAAAAAGAAAATTACACCAGCTAAATTTTAGACTAAGGATAAATTATAAAATATTCTACAAGTTAAAAGAGATGATTTTCATGAAACATTTAATAAAAACTGCCTGTGCTAAAGTTATTGGTAACAGTGTTTTTGAATTGACAACTCAATGCTGAATGAGAACTCGCTATGAATTAGGTAGTGAAAGTTACGCGATTTCACATAAACATACCAAATGTATAACAGTCTTAATTTTTGAAATAAAGAAACTGAGGCCCAGAAAGATAGCTTCCCATGTTCAGAGCTAACAAATAGAAGAATCAGGACTAAAGTCAATGTTCCTTCATATAAAAACTACTGGAGGGGAGTTGTTAATATAAAAAATTTCTGAAATGGTATTCCATCTTTTGGCCAAGTAAATAATATCCATTTTGCTTTAAAATTAACTTGACATACATTCACAAAGTGGGAGAATCAGAATGGGTAATAATACATGGCCAAAATTAAACAGACAAATAAGCACATTTTCAATCCGAGAATATAATCATGTATGTAAAGATAAAACATTTTTGACAAAGAGTAGAGAGAATTTTAATTCAAGAAAGTTGATAGGTTTTTACTTCCTCCCCATAACCCAACAGAATGGACAGCTATTTTAAAATATAAAAATCTATAGAGAAAAAGAGAATGAGAGAGGAAACAACAGGAAAATACATTGTAAGTTATAAAGTCAAAGGACATGAATTAAGTAATGTTTACTCAAAAAGAGAAAAGCTCAGAAGCAACTTAGTTACCTTAGGAAAGACTCCAAGTGTCATAAATTGAATTGGTAGTACTTCTGAAAACATGAGTGAAGGTATAAATACAAACAGAATTGTGTAATGTCCACATAGGAGAATTTAAAGGCCCCAATCACCTCCTTGTTTTGGTTTGATAGCTCTGACTCCTAAACCTAGCAGAATTTGGTTCTCTGGAGAATTCTCTGGACTGTAGTATATCAGGCACAGCTGGGATGGGATATCTACTAAACACAAGGCAATTAATTGAATATTTACAAAAGTTTTGAGAACCCAGTGGACTCCATTTCATCTCCCTTGCAGTCAGAAGATAAACTGGATAACCATTCCCAAAGGAAATCACTAAAGATACCAACACTCAAAGTTACACAATAGAACTGCCCAAATGAAAAACCATGCACTGAGGCCCATGATCAAAATTTAACCATGATGTCAGGACTTATGATCAGCATTTTAGCAAAGCATGAGCAACAAAAGTATCATCAAGCGCCTGAGAAAAGACATGAAAGATAACCAAACAAACAAACTGGGGATATAAAAACAATTTTGTAAAAAATAACAGGCACAGGGAAAGAAAAAACTCAAGGATATTAATAATCTTTGAGAGAGTTAAAAAAATTATAGTCAAAACAAAAGACTCAATAGAAGTTTTAGAAAATAAAGTTGAGGACATTTCCCAAACAGTGTAAGAATAAAAGAGGGCTGGGGATACAGCTCTGTTGGTAGAATGCTTGCCTCGCATGCACAAAGCCCTGGGTTCAATCCCCAGCACCACACACACACACACACACACACACACACACACACACACACACCAAAAAAAAAAGAATAAGTAGAAGACCTAGTTCAAATAACGTGCAATATAGAAAGAGAAAACATCAGTGAAGAATATTACCCATAACTAAAGTAAATAAGTTTCCAGAGTAAGCACACATGCACTGAGTTCCCCACAGAATACCACTAAGTAAAGCATTATGGAATTTCTGAACACTGGGAACAAAGAGAAGATCTCCCAAGCTTCTGGAGAACAAAAGCAAATCACATATGGGCCTGAAGTGTAAAGATAGAATAACAATGGAAGCTGAAAACAATTAAGTAATACCTCTAAAATTCAATATGAAAATGATTTGTAACCCAGGACTCTATACCTGACCTAAAATCCCTCCATTCTGAAGATAGAATTAAATCTTTTTAATATACATAAGGTCACCAAAATTTACCACTTTTATTTTACCTAATGATAAATTTCATTGAAATAAGAGATTGTATTTTTTTTTAAGTGGAAAGCAAGGTGTCAGGAGATTGAGTGAAGAGGCCAACCAACTCGAGAAAACAAAGACAGCTCCAGAATGAAGGTGAAAGAATGTCAGTATGAGAATCACACACAAAAAACAGAGCACACTGGAAAGTTCCAGGTTGATAAGAAAGATAGAATACTTAACCTTATTAATTTCAAGAAAAGCAAAAAGTTATATAAAAAGGAAAAGTAATCATATATTGTCACAAGACAAAGTTATAAACAGTATGTACATACCAAAAAAAAAAATACAGATTACCTAACCAAAATTACCATACCACCATATTGTACTATGGGAGACTGGGAAGTACTCCTGTGTGAAGGGAAGGGACAGGGTTACCTCAAGGTTGAAAGAGAATTTAATCCTCTCAATTCGAGAAGAATCAGCTCTTATATAAGTGATTAATGTTGGGAAGAAAGGAATGTACAAGGAACAGATTATATTCATACTGAACCATTTGGCTGAACCATCTCTTTAAACCATGTGCATGTATAGCTGCTATGAAATTTTTAAATATGTACTCTAATTATGGGGATACAAAAAACTAGAAAATGAATATCCTGTTCCAATTTCAACAAAAGGGGGTGGGGAAGATCTTACGAGAATAAGTTCCACTGATTCCAGACTGTGTCAAACATTTCTGAAGTTCCTCAGCATCCACTTCACCATCCTGTTAAAACAATAATGATAACCTTATTTAATGTTTAGTTATATAAAAGCATATTAAAATGTTAATTAACTATGGTAGCTCAATCATGAAATATGCATTTCTCAGAATACTGGTATCAACTTCAAAATTCTAAAAAGAATTATCAACCGCAAAAGCATATTACAGAACATAATGCAATGAATCATTTCTTCTACTTCTGAAAAAAACAGCACATTCACTCTGTTCTATCACAGTTCAAAACAATATATTGTGAAAGTCATTGAATCTCTAATTAAAATAGAAAAATCCATAAAACGTTTTTAAAAGTTCTCACAAACATTCCCAGTCATGGTCATTTTTGGAAGGAACTATGTCTAAAGAAAAACTTCATATTGAATGTTTTACTGGCAGGGAAACATATCCTTTTCGATCTCACGATTACCTCTAGTGAAATTTTATAGTCCTCTGTATTGTGTAGCTATTCTGATTAGTGTCCAAACATTCCTGTTTGAATTTATTGGAAATGACAATGGAAATGAAACAGAGTATTCTCCTTACGTTTCAGTACCTAATCCTATTTTCTACACAAATATACAGTAAGGTAATTCACTTGGAAATATCACATACATTGGCACAGATGCAAAACAAGAGCTATGAGAAAAGATTAAAAAGGTAAATTTAAGACACATGCTTCATAAAAAAAGAAATGAACAAATACTTTAGAAAAAACTTCTAAGAAGTATTTAAGTAGTCACATTCAACTAGATCTTTAACAATGAACCTGCAAACACAATTCCAGTGGTTCTAATAGAAATTTAAAAATACTGAGTAATATTCTTCTCAATGAAGCATCCTTACAGTCATCTCTGCTTAGAATATCTGAGTGTTCCTTCCTAGGTCCTACATACTTTGGGGATCTTTATTAAATTTTAAATTCTATAGTAATAAAATTATACCTTAAAAAATACCTATTTCCTTAGACTTGTAGCTACATTACAAATACTTTCTTCCAGTTATAGGAACTTTAGAAGAACTTTGGGGCACATTTTATTTAACCAACATTTATCCACCTCCCTATTAGAAGTCCCGAAGTAACTGTTTCAAATGATTATTATATTACAAACCTCTTTCAAAAAACTTCATGTTCTGAGCAAAAAGTCATTAGTAAAACATTCTACTAATTAATTTGGAGAGCTGCCACTGTCAATACCATTTCTGTGAAATAACAGACACAAATGCCATGCTACTGTCAATGATGGCACACTAAACTTAAAAAGACTCTTTTACAAACTATTAGAAGAGGCAAAGGAAGAAAATGACTTATCTTTCTTTTTGATTTTTTTTTAAAAAAATGTCTTTTAGCACACAAAAAGTGATGTAGTTATAAATTATCTTTTCTTTAACTCTTCTTAAGTGGAAAAATGCCGTTCTACTTGATGATTAAATTAATGAGAAGTTACTGAGCCTCATGAATTTTTTCCCATTTATAAAAACAATGTATCACGTAGAAAGCACAAGAATGCAAAGAATGGAATGTATAGACCACACAAACATGAAGTTTTCAAGAAAAATGTAAGTGTACTGAAAATCTACACCAATCCAATTAAAATGAAGAGCAACAAATCCTATCTGTCAGATGATATTTTCTGTTCAAGCACCAGTCTCTTCCGTAACATTTCACACAAAAGTTTCTCACCAGCCTCTTCCGTAATATTTCACACTTTTCCCAAACTGAGTATTTCTCTAAATTCTACACTTCTAGACAATGATGAAGGAACCAAAGGGTGTGGAGGTTCTTTACGATGAAAGAACATTTATAGAAAAAGCAGACTTGGAAAAAATGCTAGTTGAAAAGATACGAAACAAAATTTATTGCAAATTTTAGTTGAAACACATAAAAGTTATTTTAGGATCCTTTTTATGAATGGAATGAAAACTACAAAACAGCTCACTATTTCTTCTCCCACAAAATAAAACAGCTTTAAACTCTGTGTGCCACATTTCCATGTGCTCATTTATCTGCAAAGGCCTAAGCTCCCCTCACCCACTGCTCTGCCTAGAAGGATACACTGTAGATAAGTCAATTATATGTCTTGTTCTTCAGAAGTGAAGGTGTACTCTTCCTAAGAAAAACAATATCTACTATTTTACCAGGGTTAAGAATCAGATGCTATAAAATGCAGAACATCATCCATTAATTGCCTCAAGAAGTCCCATACAGTGGGACTCTGATTTTTTTTTTTTCTTTACACTTCCTTTGGCATTACGGTGTGCTACTTTCGTGGCACATCAATAGGTGAACAAGAACCTTCACATGTTCAGCTATATAGAAGTTCTCTGAACCCCGTCTTTTCGGGTTCAGATTTCATAGCATCAGAATGATTGCTAATAGACTAGGTAAGAAAATCCAGCAAGGCCTAAAATTCAGACTCTACTTGGCCTCTGTGTAGCATTCCTGAGTATTTCTCTAAATTCTACACTTCTAGACAATGAAGAAGGAACCAAAGAGTGTGGAGGTTCTTTACAATGGGTGAGAACTCCTCTGGAATAAGAGTCTTATGATCTCCTGTCAGATAAGATAAGTCAGAGAATAAAGAAAATTATGGCCATATAAGAACACGGAAAAGTTTCTGTGACTTCCTTGGGGAAGAGAAATTCTAGTTTCTATGCCCTATATCCTGCCTCAGGGAAGGCATTATGACCTAGGAACCATGGGAAAAAAATACACAAAAATATAAATAAATATATAACACATATAAATATCAAAATGTCTGTATATGTTATCACACTTATATATGTAAATATACAAATATGTATCACAATTATATTCTTTCCTATCTTCAATACTCAACAATTCTCTTATAAAAAATGCAACTGATATCTCATAAAAATGGATGTGATACATACTTCCATTAAGACCACTTGAACTTTCACAAGATAATGAATATAAAATTACTTTAAAAGGAATAAATTGTGGTATAATAAACAGTGGTTGCAATAGAAATAAAGAAAAAACTTTGCCTGACCACATAATTACTTATTATCACTAAAACTTCGCATGCAAAACTTATGTACCTGAATTGGCAGGTTCATACTTCCCGATTGGTCATAATAAAGCCTGCCTTCTACATACTTATTCAAATTTATTAGAGATTAATAACATGCTAATACTATAATATATCATTAAGATAATAATTTCTATAATTTTTTGTTAAAGATAGAAAAATATGCCCTAATATGATTATATAGATAATCTTTTTGAAAGACCTAACAGTCATATAAATTAAAAAAAAATCACTAAAAATGACATAAATCCTTCTGTGGAAAAAATGTAATTGCTCAACTTGAATAAATTTATGATATTTTGAGGTGATTTCCTATTTATAATACTGTTTGACATACTTGGGTTTCAAATTACACACACACACACACACAAACACATACACACAAACACTTCTTTTTAATGGAATGAGTGGCAAAGTTAAAATATTGTTCCCTAGACTAAATACTAATTGCTGTAAATATCTCTTACCTTCCCTTAAATTTGTAATACTCATCCTTGTTTGCTATAAAAGGATGTTCAGACTAAATGTAATTAGCTTTAGATTATCAATCTCTCCAAGGGAATAGAATTCTTCTCATTGTCAAACATAGGGAAGATATTAAGAAGATTTAAGTGAGAGATAAGATAGTTCAAAATAAGAAAACACCCAAGTACTATAATACTTATGTTTTGATGATGTACTTAACTACTAATAACAAAATCCCTTTGTCAAATAATGTCAGCAAGAAAAGTGTTGGTCTATTTTCTGAAGCTATATAACTGAGGCTGTGTAACTTATAAAGAAAACAGGTTTTTTTTTTGCTTTCTGGAAGCTAGGTAAAGCACAGGCATCAGCTCTTCTTTGTAAGGACCAGGTGTGAAGACCAGAGACAAATGTGTGAGAGAGAAAAATGGGAGGTGATTGACTCACTTCAAAACAATCCACTCCAATGTGAAATAACTAATCCACTCTTTCAAGAATCTCCTTTATCCTTTGATGAAGATGGAGACCACATGACCTAAAGGCCTCTTAAAGGCACTACTACCTCTCAGTACCACTGCACTGGCATGTAAATTTCAACATGAGTTTTGGTGGTGACAAACAACATCAAACCTTAGAAGACATCCTACTATGTAAGGAAGAATTAGATTTTTCTACTTTGAACATTTTTCCTCTTTCAATTGATTTAAAGTGACTTTTTAAAATAAAATAATTATGACTGCCCTCATCTCGGGTCTCAAGAACAAAATCAGCCTAGATAAAATTAAAACATAAGTTCCATATGCATTTAAACTGATATACTAAGTGAAATACTTGACATTTCTTTTGAATACTAATCATTTTTTTAAAACTAACACTTGTGCAATAATTTTAGCACCTTACCTGTCCAGCAACAGCAGTGAAATAATTCCACATAGCATCATCAGCTGAAGAATAATTGTCTGAATATGCTGGGTACCCAGAGTAACCACCAGGGAACATGTTTGGACCTGTTCCTGGCATTTGCATTCCTGGCATCTGACCACTAAAATTTCCAAACTACAAGAGTAAAAGAGAAGAAGATAAATAATACAAAAATTATCCATTAAAGTGGCTTCAAATAAAATATGTATTGAAAGTCCATTGAAAAGTAAAAATATAGTTACCCAAAGCTCCCAAACATAATTATCACAAAAGCTTAAGCTACATAATACTAGGTAACTAACATTAAGACAGAGTTCATTGGGATTTGTTATTCAGCATTAAAAGTACTTAAGAGCTGGAGTATAGCTCAATGGTAGAGAGCTTGTCTAGCATGTGTGAGGCACTGGGTTCAATCCTCAGCACCACATAAAAATAAATAAATAAAGGTATTGTGTCCATCTACAAGTAAAAAATTTTTAAAAAGTAGTTAAAAAAAATCAGCCACTAAGAACTTAATTCAACAAAAGAATATAAGGTATAATTTTTAAAGTTTACCATCATCATCATTGAAATAAATGAAGGTAAAACATGTAAGATTTCTCATATGGTGAAACTCAGAATTATACCTCAAGACACATACTTAGAAAAAAAATGTGATCAATACAATGAAACTGGGACCTAATCATGGGAAACTGCTTATAGCTCAAATATCCTCTCCACCATAAAAAGATTTATTTTTTAAAAAATTAAGATGACAAGAAAAAAATCCAGTGACAACTCTACTCCAATACTAATATATTATAATAGCCCAATACTAATATATTACAATAGTCCACTCCAATACTAATAATAATCCAATACTAATATATTACAATAGTCCACTCCAATACTAATAAGAAAAATAATAATACCAATGAAATAATAATATTAGGCAGTTAATATTTATTGAGGGCTTTTTATATGCCATGTACCACTCTAAGTACTTCCATTGATTATTTTATTAAATTTTCCCAACTCCATAAGATATAAAAGTATTTTGTTCTTTTTGCAGTTGAGGTTCTAAAACTTCAAGATCTCCTGAACTGGTCAAGGTCAAATAGCTAGTAAGAAATAGACCATGTATTCAAATATACTTACCCTCAGAGACGTGGATAAACCCTATCCACATTTATTTCATGCTATGGCTATGGTTTCTCTCTTATTTACTGTTCATTTTGGGACATGGCATATGCTTTCAATACCTTAGAAAAACATTTTGCTCAGAATTTTTGTGAGTCCAGAGAGAAAGAAGTAGTAGATTATAAACTTATTCCATTAAACAAAAATCTTGACCTGAAGGCTGAAAAGAGGTTTGCCATAAGTCAGAAAGAAAAAAAAAATTCAAGTAGGAGGAAGAAAAAATATAATGAAAATATGTATAAATTAAAATTTTAAATTTTATTTCCTGTGAAAATTTTTATTATAAAATTAGTACAATGAAAATAATACAATTTTGATTAAAAAACTCTTACTAAACAAGTAAAAAAGTATTAGAAAAACATTTAAAAAGATGAATCATTTACTGGGTCAGATAAAAGTATACTTTCAAAAAGGTCTAACAGCTACCATTTTATATTTTGTTAAATATAAAAATATTAATTTAGGTCTATATTGACTATAGTTAATATGTTTCATAAAACAACTTTAACTTATAAATATATTCCAAATAAAGAAATAATGCATATTTTACCCTTGGATTTTATTCAATGTATCTTAAAAGAGTTCCACTGAAAAATATTAATTTTACTAATCTATATTGCTTTCTTTGTTTGAGGGTGTTTTTGTCCTAGCTACTAATAAGGAGTTGGAGAATAGATGTGAAGAGCTGCTTTTATTTGGATAAGCAGAAAAAAAGCATTTAAATGTTTAAAATATGTTCAGATGTTTCCTTCCATTAAACACAAGCACTCTGATAAAAATGGGGGTAAGGAAGTAGCAAATCCTTTCAATTAATATGTTATTACTATCATCATCATCTGTACCACATACATGAAATTAGGACATCCAACTAGGAGTAAAAGTAACATATATCTAACAGAGACTGCAATCTAATTAAAATATGTAGGAGGTAGTGAAATTTCAAATGCCTCATGGATTCATGCTATTTTGATTAATTTTGAAAGAGATTTTACCTTCCTCAGGCACCTTAAATTTCCTTAGTAACTTAAGGACTGAAAGTAGACATTGGAAAGTGGAAGATGCCAGAGGGAATTCAGGCACATTTTCAAGCAACACAGTTTAGGAACAAGTATGTGTCAGAGTTGAGAGCCTGGAAACCCATTACCTTAAAAAATGATTCTCCCTTAGTCCCAAGGATTAGAATTAATTCCTTTGAACACCACTACCATACACCAGTGTCAATTCCTGGGTTAAAATTAATAAAGCATAGTTTCCATTTTTAGGTTTAAAAAAAAAAAGTTAAAATAAAAATAGAAAACAGGCTACCTTCTGCCTGCACCCTAGTGGACCATCCCACACTCTTTTTAAACAAAAAGTATGCTCCAGGCACTTTGAAAATTACTGATAAAAAGGTTGAAGACTTGGATTCCTTTCCAAAAGGAAGGTGCTAGCCACAGGATACTACAATTAAGACTTCTAACTCCCAAAGGTGATGTAGAAAAAACAACTACATAAGAAAGAATAATCTTCACAACTTCAAAAACAAATTCTAGAAAAACAGATTGCCCTTGCTCTGACAAAAGGTATTCGGGGCATTTAGAGTTCATCTTAACGTATTTGTAAGGAATTTTAAAAATGAGAAGTGGTAAAAATAATTTCAGAAAGAGGATCTGTAACAAAACTGCGTGGAGCAGGGGTGAGAACCCTATAAGATTATTACAAAAGGAGAAGGATGTTTTATTCCTCGGTTCCAAGAAAAGAAATTTCAAAAAACACATTTCACATGGCAACGTCACACTGAGGGTCGACCCTTAGGGGTCCTCAAGGATCAGAACACCTGCAGTTCCATTTTAGCCCGCCCAGCCCCTGTTTCCAGCACCACTCAGAGTTCTGTTCCAGGCCCTCTAGTACCAGTCACCAGAGAAGGACGAGGAGGCAGTGGGCGGACCCGCACGGTGGCACCGCCCGTCGGGCCACACACCCAGAGAGGACCGAGGCCACGAAGAAGTAACCAGGACTCACCCCTCCTCCATATCCCGGGTAGGCCATGAAGAGCCGATCAAGTGTCACCCAATAGTCACTCTTGAGTTGGCGTTGGCCCTGGTGAGAAAAGCGGGGAAGTGCAGGTGCAGCTCAGGCCGAAAGCCATCCAATCCCCGCGGGTCGCGTTCGCGCGTTCAAGCCCGCCCCCTGAATCCAGCCCCGCCCTACCTAGTTCCGATTGGCTGAGTCTTGCCTTTCACCGACCACACTGCAGGAGCCCGCCCCTTCTCGGAGTCTAGCCTCACTCTCCTCAGTTCTGATTGGCTATCAGGTCTCTTGGCTCAGAGAACCTGTTTGTTCAGTTCTTATTGGCTCACTCAAGTTCTTAACCAACTCCGGATTCTCTAAGCTACTGTTTCCTAAAGTTTCTTTTCTCCCTAGAAAATCAAAACCAGTCAGCACACTTCTACCCTTAGACTCTTCTGCGCTTAGACTTAGTCATCTTTGAATTTCAAATTTGCAGTTACTAATATTTGCTTTTGTGTAGTATTGATGTCACATCAGAACTTTGAAGTTGTGACCATTGCTATGCCCAAAGGAGAGTACTTCTGCATTAAACCCCAATTGACTCCAAATTTAGGAGTCTGGCCACAGTTGTCAAATGTAACAAATAAAAACATAGGATATCTAGTTAAATTTGATTTTCAAGTAAATAATTAGGGTAAGTCTCAAATATTATACACACGTACACTTATATTTAGAATTTTTTGCTGTTTATAGGTCAGTAATGCACAGTGTCCTGTATATTATCTGGCAGTCCTACCAGTGACTCAACCTTTTGAAAACCCTTATTAAATATTATCTATACCAAAGAATATTTTGCTATTTATCATTTGGTAAAGAGCTAATTTTTAATTTTGATTTTTAAGTAATTGACAAGTCTGCTTTTATCTAGAATACAAATGAAATTTATAGCTCTGAGTTTAAAAGAACAAAATAGTCATAGTTTCAGTTTTAAGACAAAACAAAGATGATATTATTTCAAGTTATCACTGAAGAATAAGAGAGGAGCTATTTCAAAAATAAGGATGTTAAAAAGAAGTGTTAACTATTAGCAGATGAAATCAGTCTTGCAAAGCTTAACTATTGTTTAGCTACACCACAGAGGAATATCTTGGACCTTGTGAAACAGTTTTACCAGGAAGAGACAGAGAGAAAGGAAGCTTGAAAATGTACAAGCTATTCTTGAGAAAGTGTCAGTTCCTCTGACACAATAAGAAATACTTTACCAATAAAGTTAAATTACTGGGATAAATAAATAAGTAGAAAAAATGGCAAATTCTACTTGGTAGCAGAAAAGAATGTATGACTCATTAAGGTATCAAGATAATAGAAAGCTGAACAAATTGTTGCCAAGTTAATACACAGAATTACATATATATTCAAATAAATACTTAGGGAAAGATTGTCTACATTTACTGGTTAGTCTAAATCTAGGATCTGAACTTTGGGGTATCTTCATTACAATGATCATACTGATTGATGCATTATATTGGGGCATACCAGGTGTCAAATCTCCATGGGTCTCTTACATTTCTGCATGTGTAATTTTTTTAATATTCATTTTTTACTTGTAGTTGGATACAATACCTTTATTTTATTCATTTATTTTTTATGTGATACTGAGGATTGAACCCAGGGCCTTGCACTTGCTAGTTGAGCACTCTACACTCTACCGCTGAGCCACAACTCCAGCCTCATGTACATGTAATTTTTAAGATAATATTTTCCTCCAGGACAAAGTTTGGGTAGGTTTGTTATTAGCCCTTTTAAAAGACAGGACTTTCCAAACTATGTAGTTTCCTAAGCAGCCTGGTAACAAACCCACTGAATTGCATCACCCTCCTGACAGTTCCACTTTGCCCTGGGGGACTTTGCTCAAGCTGCTTTTGTGCTTTGAGTAATAAAGTCCTTTTTCTCTGAATCAGAAATCTCATGCCTTCTGCCAATTTCTCTGAAACTTTATTAGCTTGCAAGTAGGGTAAAATATTAGATCCTTTATAGATCCTGACAGCGTATCTCTTCCTTAGAGAAAGAGTTGCACAGGAAAGTTCCTATCATGAAGATAGACACAGAGAAGACTTTGGAAACCACATTCTGCAGCATCAGCATCTCACTCCCTAAATTTAGTATTTGTAATTATAATGTTTCAAAAATGAAAAATTCAGATGATCCTTGATTTTTTAAAAAATAAAAGTGATGATAATTTGTCTCAATGAATCAGTTTACACTGTATGAACAACAGCATTTTATGAAAATGTAATGCACAGAAATTTAAAATCATATACTTTTATTTCAGAAAATACTTCAATATCTTTGTAAAATAGCTATTTCTAGAGTGAATGCTATGTAGTAGGCATTGTTGATTGTGAAGTGCTATTCCTCAAAACAACCCTATGTGGCATGTATTATTATTAATCCTATTTTGCTAATGCAGTAAATAAGGTAGTAAATTGTATTTCACTTGCCCATGGTTGTGTAGTAGCAAAGCAGAGATTAGAACTCAAACAGTTAGGCAACAGAACATAATCTCTTAATGCATTTCCCTTTCCCTGCCTACCTCCAACTTTAGTACTTCAAATTTAATAAAAATTATTTATTATTTACATAGGAGAAAAGGGGGGCTTAAAGAGTAGAAAATGAATAGTAGAAAAATATTTAGAGAAATAGACAGGAAGATGCATTATTTTGAAAAAGGTTAACCATTTGATTCACTTCTCTTACAAAGCATACATGCTTTCTGGTGATCACAAGCCTCACATGATGATGTCCACCTGTGAATTTCTTCTGAATCATGATGGCTTAATCATAAATTTAGATATTCAATTAACCAACACAATTACCAGTACATCATAAACACTAAATTAATTCTGGTTTTCTTCCCCATCTATTGTCACCACATTTTCTCTTTCCTCCTATATGAATGAAGAGTGGGGACACAGGAGAAATAAGTGTGTATATCTTAATGCCTCAGCAAACTTTAGTTGCAGTCAAAGCCTACTTCTTTCATATAAGTCAAATTATACTAAACACCACAAATAAGCCCCATCAGCTAATTGAAATCCAAAATTAATGGAGTTTACTTTCTATCACCAAGAAGCTTCATAATTCATTTATTCAACAATGATTTGTTGAACACATTTAAAGTAATGCTATTTTAAACTGGGAAAAGTACAGCAATGGGAGGTGACAAATGTCCATGATCTTGAAGAATTTACATTCAAGCAAGTAGAAAAGACAATGGTGAATAAAGAAAATAAGAAAAGGAAGGAGTATATGAGGAGATGATGGTAAGTGCTATTAGATAAAAAAGGAAACTAAAGCAAAGTTCAGGGGAGGAAGAAGACAGAATAGGTTGCAGTACTTAAGAGTGCTCAGGTTAGCCTCCTTACAAAGATGATATTTGAGCAAAAACTTAAAGGACATGAGCAACTTAAGACATGTGGGTATCAGTTGGAAGAGTATTCTAGGGCAACACTAAAGCTAAGGTCCTCAGGCAGAGGCCTGCCTAACCTCTTTGAGTAATAGCAAGGAAGGTGGTGAACCTTGAGTAGATGGAAACAGAGGTCAGAGTGCTTACAGAGCAGGGATATTACAGCTAATCATCTAAGTCTTATAGATCATTTTGAAGACTCCTTCATGATCTGGCTGAGAGAGGGAGCTGAAAGTTGGAACCTAAGTGGGACATAATATGACTTCATCTGGAAGTCATATCATGTCCCCTTTCAGCTGTGTTGATAATAGACTGAGACAAGTCTGTTGATACTCTAGAGTTAACTGTGATATCAGTGTAGCAGTTGAGATGGTGAGGTATTGTTCTATTTTAAGGTGAAACTTCAGGGATTTACAGATGTTTTCAGATTTGCCTTTAATGACATGGTACTATTTGGTATGGGATCAAAAATTAATACTGGGCCTATTAAGTTTGAGATTAAATAATGAGATCGGGTATGGTGTTGATTTTAGGGGCTTCTGGAAGTTAACAGCTTGACTGATAAGGGTACCTTCCAACCACCCAGTGTCTGCATCTTAATGGAGTGTGTTATCCTCTACTTCTAGAAATGGTAACAAACTATTTTTTAAAGCATGGGAGATTTTTCCAAAACGACCCTAAAATGAGGACTAACCGTTAATGCTACAAGTGAAAGTGAAAAGGGCCTAAGAAATTAATACTTCTTTGGTATCACTAAAAATTAATTAATTTTAATTAGTTAATTGATTCATTTGGCCCATAAAATTATTAAATAATAGAAATAACTTTATGACTTAATGGATTGAAGATAACAGTCAATTGAATATGCAAAAATAATTCTGGCAAGTTTTAAATCTATTTAGCACTTGAGAAAGTGTACAAAATGTACTTCAGTCAGCTCAGGTGACCAGAACAAAATGCCACAATTTGGGTGGCTTTAAAAAAAAGGAATTTATTTCTCACTGTTCTAGAAACTGGAAGCTTAAGATCAAGGTACTTTCAGGGTCAGTCCTTGGGTTGCAGATAGCTGCCTTCTTCCTGTGTTCTAACATCACCTTTTGCTTGTGTAAGTGAGGATTGAGAAAGAGGAAGCAGGTTAAATTCTGTTAGCTCTCTTCTTATAAGGGCATTAATCTCATCAGAAGGACCCCATCCTTAGTACCTCATCTAGACCAGATTATCTCTTAAGGGCCTCATGTCTAAATCCCATCACATTGGGTCTTAGGGTTTAAACAACAACAACAAAAAAGTTGTGGGCTGAGTGTAGTGTTGCACACGTGTAATCTCAGCAGCTCAGGAGGCTGAAGTAGGAGGATGGAGAGTTCAAAGCCAGCCTTGGCAACTTATAGAGGTCCTAAGCAACTTAACCTGTCCCTAAATAAAAATATAAAAAAGGTTGGGATGTGGCCCAGTTGTTGAGCACTCCTGGATTCAATCCCCCACACCACAAACAAACAAACAAAAAAGAATTTGTGGAAGGATACAATTCAGTCCACAACAAACAAAACCTGAAAGGTGAGGAAGAATAGATGCTTAGTCACAATGTCCTCTGTTATAATGTCACCTTGGATCCAGCCTAGTATTTATTTATCTGTATCATGCTAAAATGTATTATATAAATTTATTTAACTGATATACAATAATTATCAAACTTAGTCCAGAAATTATTCAT